AAATTATTCTTTCTATTTTTCCGACCGCCTGATAAATTATTCAACTAGGAATAATAATGGAATGTCAACCTATATGCCGAGCGGATTATAACTTCGAGCGGTATCAGGCGGGATGAAATATTAATAAGCAGGGCAGGCAACGACACCGAAACATATTCGTGTCCGTATTTCCGTACCGTCAACATTTGACAATAGGAATGCCGATTTAATTCATGGCGATTTCCAACATTTTTAAAAACTTTTAAACACTTTTCAGAGATTGATTGGTTGCGATTATTAATTCGGCGATTTCATTAGACTTATAAGATTATTCTACATTTCCACGTTTATGAAATAAGATCAGAAATGATTCTTTCAGATATATCCATTATAATTTTAACTAAATAATAGATATTTAAAATATCTCGTTTGATGAGCAAATAAATCATCAATCCACATTAGTCAAAATGAGAACTCGATAAACATAAAATTTAACGAAAAAGAAACGCAATCGGAGATCAGACTTATTTCCTTTAACGTAGAACTTTTCTTATTTTCTGTTTATTAGCAATTGTTTCTTTTTTCCTGCTTTTAAATATCCGCGAGCATATGGTTATAAGGTGAGAATTCTAACGACATGATGCGACCACGGAAAGCCGCGAGTCGATAAACCAATACGCATGTAATAGCACGTGATTGAATTTATCAATAGATATGCACATGCATTATACGTAAGAAGTTACGTACTATCGCATTTAATGCATTTTCTCAGCGACTGTCGATGGGTAACGGTACTGAGAAAGATCGAAAGATAGTAACAATGACCTTGACTGCTGGCAACGCACCTGAAGTAATCGACTAACGATCGAGACATTGGCCGATAATGCTGTATCCAGTTACGTCAGTGAGAAATATCCGTCTGCTGAAATATGCGTCTGCTGCGTCTGAATCATTCTCGCGGATTATCGAGTTTCTCGATCAGAAGGATGTAGATGAGACAAGATAGACGAAGTGATCATTGACATAGAATAATTCCAGCAGGAGTAAATCCTCGCAAAAGATCCATTTAAAACACACTTTTTAATTTCATCTCAAGCTGGGAATAAACGGTACATTTTATCGTCGCGTTAGAAACTCACGTAGGATTAAAAATATATATATAAAGTTTTTTAACAAAAAAAATTACAAACGAGATTACAGAACGAGTGATTCACTGGAAGCGTCGAATAAATGAACGGTTTGCAAATCCTTGGTTGACCCCGAAGTGATCATTGACATGGAATAATTCTAGCGGAAGTAAGTCCTCCCGAAAGATCCATTAAAATATACTTTTTAGTTTAACAGCTGGGAATTAACGGTAAATTTTATCGTCGCGTTAAAAACTCACGCAGGATTAAAAAAATATAATATAAAGTTTTTTTAATAAAGAACTGCAAACGAGATCACAGAACGAGTGTTTTTGGAAGCGTCAAATGAATGAACAGTTTGCAAATCCTTGTTGATCCCGTCGGGTATATAGGGAAGTTAGTAATCTAATACATTTATGCAAGTCCGTAATCTTCCCTTGATACGCTACCGTTATGATGCCTTTATGTTTAAAGTTATGTTATGGCGAACTGTGTGCATTATCTTAAGCTTCTATATAAGCGATCTAGTTTGTATAGTAAACCGTTTAACAATATTCTAATTTACAGTCTATATACTGTCTCCGGGAAATACGTCTTCTTTTCAGAACACAAACTGTAGGAAAAGTAAGAGTTTACTGCCGGATTAAATATTGTACGTTAATACTTGATCTTGTACGTAACACAATGCTTTATTTATTCGCGAACTCTCCTCGACGCTCCGATTTAAGCCGAGCGTATATACATCACGCCTTTTAATCCCCCGCGGGAAACGTATATAATATGGTGTGGTATCTAAGTATGACGCAATAAAAGCATGTCCGATTTTACGATAGGCGCGCGCGATAACATCTCTATTCTTTTTTTGCGTACATTATTATCTACATTTGAGCTGGTAACACGACCGGTGTATGCATCTGACGCAAAAGGTCTATCGGCCTCGTATGGCGCGCCGGTATAACAGCGCAAAAGTCGATTCGTGCAACCGGATCGTGAACTCGATTCGATTACTACCGAGAGTGCGGCCAGTTGTTGCATCGACGACCGGACGCACTCGAAATCCGATGGGCACCGAGGTTGCGCCGCGCTAAAGGGATGAAATCCCCTCCCTCTGCGTGTTTACGCATCCAAACGGGTTCGTGCGATGAGTCGCGCAATAAGAGGAAAGCACCAGGAAAGATCAAAGCGGCCGTGTACATTATTGTCGCGAAGCAAAAAAAAAACCTATAACGAAACGGGCGCAGAAAAGCGAAAATAGTTAAAAGACAGGGACTATAGAGAAAGACTGTGACAGAGTAGAATTCTTCATGATTATCGCTTATCGGCAGTACGAGAATTTTATCAGGCGAAAATAAATAGGAAATCCTGTCACACGAGCCTCTCAAAAGCCAAACTGATTGACTTCACGAAGTTGAAAATAGAAAAAATCGATGAAACTATATAAATTAATCATGTGCACTGATTCTAAAATTAAGAAATTAAAAAAAAAAAACGCATCGAGCTCCAGTTTGGCTCATATACATACATATATGTATACGCGACCTCGTCGATACGTCGCGGTTATCTCGAGGGAACGTCCGTCGCGATGCCGCGCGCATCACGCGCTGATAGTACGTCTGGAATTATCGACCACGGAGCGCGCGCGAGCTTTGTTTTGCACGTGCATCATCCTCGCGTTGCTCGTCGTTGCGTTAGCGACAACGATAACGCGGCCTGCCGACATCGTCGAGGAGCGTCGGAGGGGCATCGCCTGAATAACGGGTTGCCGCGTCGTCGGGCCCATCAATCACGCATGTCCAAAAACTCGGATATTTTGGACACAGGTGGCATAAGTGAATATAATTAACGTAACTGACACGTGAAATCACATCTGACAGCTCGAATTGCACTCGCGACGTTCCTCGAAAAATTTGAGCAAGTTTATTTCGGACTATTAAATATTCTAGGTAAATTTTGGTCAAAATTAGCCCATTTTTTGGAAACGGTAATTTTTCCCGATGGAGCTGCCAACTCAAGCTAGCAGCTGAACAACAAGACGTTAAAGCAAATGTGAATTATTCTGTCCATTGCCAGCATAACAAAGCGCGGGAATAAATACGGTGAACCACGCTAATAAATATTTCACGTGACACCGAAACACGAATGTATGTAAAACGAGTAAAGTGAGCTAACAAATACGTACATAATTAACTTTCCAACGTACTCGATAAGAGTCAATTTGGTCTTGTACGTGGTACACAATTTTGTCATCTCGTTCATATACTCGTACAATATACAGTACTTTAAATTGAGACACAGAAGCGACATAGAAACCTAATTATATGCGAGAATATATATTATATAGAATATATATTATATATATTCTAATATTAATTTAAATAACACGAGAATATCGTTCTATATTTATAATACGACAATTTTATAGATTCGTTATTTTTTCAATCAATTCGAAATCCATTTTTTAAATCCACTTTTCGATAATAAGAATTGATCTCGACAGCTATTTTTTTGCGTTTAATCCAAATTAATCGAAAATTCGAAAACAATTTTTGCTATTCCAATACATTTATACATTTAAAGTTTAATTCTCAAACAGTTCATTTTTTTTTTTCATTGTTTAATACTCATAAAAGTTACGCAAAATTTTATTTTTAAAGAAAAGCTTTGACTTTTAAGAAAGTTTGTAAGAGAATCCCATGAATAAAAGAATGTGCAAAACCCGACATGCTTTATGTGTATGTATCTTTTAGATAAGATGAAAATTGAATAGAGCGCACCGTTTGGCGTGCAGAAGTTACTTTCTATTTTCTGATCGCGACTTTTGACAATAAAATTCTCGGCTTTCTGTCAAGCTTACAAGATCGTTTTTGCGTAGCATTTTTTTTCTCAAAGAGTTTTCTCTCCTTCATTGCAATATTTGTGCGATAAGTACGAAAAGTATTAGAAAATATATTAGCGGTCGCACCGCGCATTCTTTTCAAATTTAACTCGCTCATGCTGTTCAATTAAAATGATTAATTATTTTAACGAAAATATTATATTTAGAAAAAATGTATACAAAAAAGGAATACAAAAAACTACGCAAACTCGATTTATTTTTCAACTGTCATTCAAAAATCAATCAGTAGTTTCCGAAAAACAAGAAGATAATGAATGCATCCTGCGAAATCTACCGATCTACAAAAAAAACGTAATCGTCGTCGGGCGAAAGGAAATTCCCGCGAGTTTTAAAAGGCAGACGGACATTTTATCGGGCCCCTCGTCTTTCGCAGCGGACCAGGAGGAGAGAAGAAGGCATTTTGTGTGTGTGTATGTGTGTGTGTGTGTGTGAGTGAGATACTCGCGCTTGCTCGCGCTCGACGCGGCGCGACACGGTGCGACCGATAGCGCAGCGAGCGCGGCGCGAAGCGGAGCGGAGCGGAACGGCGATCGTCTGATCGCGTCTGCTTCTCGATCGTCGACTCCGATGAGACGGTCGACGGGCGGGCGAACGCGACCGATTGTTATCGGGGAGGCGAGCACGTCCAGCGAGCATGCCGGCGACGCCGCGTCGAGTCACGGTGCACATACGTTACGGCCGCGGCCGTGTGTCGGGACCCCGCGGGGTAAATGGCGCCCCGCGCGACGCTACGAAAACTCGCGTATATACTCGGCGCGACACGACGGCGACGAGACACGCGCGCATCGCGCGCCGTGCCCCCGCGGCCGCGATCATTACGCCGATAAATGGCGACGCGGCTTCTTCTTCCCCTCGTCGCGTCGTCCGACGGTGGAAACCACGCGAGGGCCCCGCCAACGAGAAGGAGGAAGACGCTGAGCCGCGCGGACGAGACGCGTCGCGACGCGACGCGACGCGACGCGACGCGACGCGTGATAATGATTGGCGCGCGCACTCACCCTGTGTCCAGATTCCTCGAGCCGCTGCCTCTTGGAATGCGGGCCGTCTCCGTTGAATGCCATCCTCCGTTGTACACCGGGCGATGCGTTTGAAATGGAGCACTCGGAGCGCTGCACGACGGCGAGACAGCGGAACGGAGAGCGAGCAGCGAACAGGGACGACGACGACGGCGACGGCGACGGCGATGACGGCGACAGCGACGACGACAACGACAACGACGACACGAGCGTGTTGTGTATAACCCGCTCGCGATATACCTCCAACACCGTGCCGACGATCTCGTGCACGCGGACGGGGAAGGGGGGAGGAGGAGAAAATAATAATCGGTAGGACACACGACGCGACGAGAACAGACAAACGCGCGAGAGCGGCTTAAAGGAAACTGGATCTCGCCGGAGCCGGAGTACGTCAACGCTTGGTGCGAACTGGCAACCGGCTACTGCGACGCGCCCTGCCGGTGGCGCCACGGAACGCTCTGCGTGGCCGTCGTTAAGCCGCCGTTGTGCGCGCCAAACGTCGCCGAGTATCGCGCGCCGATTGGCCCGTCACTCGGTCGCGCGAACTGCTGCTCGCAATTGGTTGTTGCGAATCCACTGAATTTTCATGAAGATATTAATCGGAATGCGCGGTCTCGCAGCAGATGCATTTTCCACAGGAGTGCGCGTAATCTGAATAATATATGATAACTTTAATCGAAAGTATGTTCAACTTTCTATATTCAGGCTCCAATCCAAAGCGTCAAAATAAGCCTACTTTTCAAAATAAGATATCATTATATATAACTGTTACATTTCAAGAAAATGTTTAAAAATTATAAATGTAAGTTTGTAATTTTTAAACATTTTCTTGAAATGTAACAGTTATATATAATATCTTATTTTGAAAAATAGGCTTATTTTGAAAATTTTGTAAGTTTGTGTTTCGATCGAATTTGCGATAGAAAAATGCAAGAAAAATTATCTTTAATTGCATAGGATTTTTTAAATCATTTAACTCTTAAAGCTATAAAAAAATAAAATATTTTATTAAAAATTATCCGATTTATATTTAATTAATTTTTTTTCAAATTTTATTCCCGTAAGAGGTACAAAAAAAATTGAACATAATCAAAAGGCGATTATTCGGCATTTTTCATTGAAGACAATAAAAAATTTCGAGGAGACAGTCTGGGGTCGAAAACAGGCTTCAATATGGGAGATAAATTCCCTTCGGATAAATACAAAAATCTGTCCAACAACACCACAGTTTCCACTAATGGTGCCAACATTGTACGCAATGCTCCGAATATCACAATCTGCCGCCACTGATTCAGATAGGATTTTATTTGCGGATTCTGGAGATCTGAATCTTCAGGCCGGAGATTCGGCTCAAAGCCTGCGGTTGCTGCCGTGCAGTATCTGAAAAAATAAGCACATTCGATACTACATGTATTGTTATCGACATAGCAATCCATAGAAATTTCAACAATCGTAATCGCTTTACTCAACTGTTCAAACGTAACAGATCTCGTCACTTTAACATTCCTCACTTGACTGTGACGTAACTGGCTGTTTCGTTTTATTAAAATGGTTTCCAAAGCAGCTCTATAAGCGTGCACCTAAAGAAAAATACACAATTCAATAATAACAAGCTTAAGTCATGCTCTAATGATACTTAACTATCAAATCCTCATAATTTCCAGTCTTCAGCTTGTCGCAGTAACTCTCGATAGCATGGCACGCCACTTCTAACGCTGTGTAGGACAATTTGTGTTTCGCAAACGACGATAGATATTTACTGAGTGGATACCCATTCGAAACATCCGCTGAATTTCTAAAGGCATGAACGTTAATATTTAATGCACCTGTAATTTTATGAGCATGATGTAAGCATTCTCATATGATGTCTCGCAAACGTACTCTAATGTCAGCTTCATGTAACAGCATCCCACGATGCAAATAAATCTCGCGTCGCAACGAGACGTGTAAAGTCTCAGTAACGTGGCTGCGAGATCTCCACACGGATGCAGTCCCGCAATGCCGAATCCAGATTTCTGCCCGTTTAAATTGAAGTTGTCGGAGAAAATCCTTCCTATATCTTCCGTGATCGTCCCTGACAGATCAGAATTGGTACTTTCCAGTTTGATCGACACGTGCCGTGGCATATCTACTTGCAAGTCAGGCAAACGTTTGGATAGGGACACCAACAATTCATTATCCCACTTTCTGTAATTAAAACACCTGTCACATGAATGCTAATGAAGGAATTAATTATACGATTGCTAGAAATTAATACGCCAGTAATTAAAGCGGCGTCTACAATGAGACTTAAGATTTAAGAAAATTGAGTATAATATTATAGTCGATTATTTATTTCTCGTGTGAAGAATAATCAATTGTGATTGGTCAATTTTCTTAAATCTTACGTCTTAAATCTCATTGTAGTCACGCCACTTAAATGAGATCGCCTAGAGTGAGAATTAAAAAATGGTATACGATGATGTAACTGGGGCTACCTGGCTTGCTGCGACAGTAATGCGTCCTGTTCAATGCACGTTACGTGCAGGCCGTATTTAAACGCTAGGGATCGGGCTAAATGACCCACGCCCGCTCCAACGTCTACAATGCACTTGGCACTGGACTCTTGCGCGCAGTCCGCGCATATCTGTGTAAAAAAAATATAAAACCTCTTAAAGGGACTATAAATACATTTCGCGTCTAATCTATATAAAGCGATACTTTGAAAATACGTGTTTTACCCGCGCTATCTGCTGTATCTCGTGTCGTTTTTTTATTTTAACGTGCTTCAAAAAGAGATTGTTGTGCTTCTTGTTCGGGGAATCGCGTAATCCCACATTTTTATTTTCCAGAACGAAATTCTCCGAATTACTCTCGGACTTTCCACCTCCGTCGCATCGCCAGGCGCCCTCGTCATTTTGATGATCTCGCTTTAGCTGCAAATCCCTTGCAACCTGTCGAAGTGCGAGCAGCGACAATGGCCAAACGCGTGAGCTGCAAACCGAATTGCATTGTCAAATTACAGACAAAGAGGTCCACAAATTAAACATTAAGTTTATTTCTTGTTCGCGCTTGCATTTGAATTAAGATATGATTCGAATGCTACAAAAAAATCATCGATCAGAAACCGCGCGTTCGACGTTCAACATTTCTATCAATATGTAGATTAACACTTTCTATTCCAGCTTTAACTTTTCATATTTTTCTAATTCTAAGAATTAGAAAACGGATAAAGAGTAAATTAAACTTATTAAACCGCGAGAAAAAAAGTCGAAATCTACAACAATTAGAAAGAAATAGATAAAGTTTGAAATCGTCGATAAAACGATGACTCGCGCTTACCGACCGGTAATGAGGATCACGCGCTTACCACGAGATGTCGCCAGCTAACCACTTGCCGAACTCGTCGGGCGACACGGTTTGCAGATCGGTCCTCCAGCTGCTCGGCAGTCTCTCCCACAGTTGCTCTTGGAAGAAATCCTGCAATGTGATTCGCCAGATTTCGAGGTCGATGCGTTCAATGCGTTGCTCTCAAAAAAATAAAGTGAAAGATGACAGACGAGAGACGCGCGAAATGTGTATCAGGTGTGTTTGCGACGACACATGCATGCCATTGGGCCGCGAATGGAGGGAGAATGCGGTTCGAGAGGAGAATCGCTGCATCGCGATGCCCGAAGCTATCATTATTGTATTTACGTACCACGACATATGAGTCTAACAACCAGCCGTACGTGTCTAGCACGTTGAAGATTCTCTCGAGTGTTACGCGAGCCTTCGAGCAGATTCTGCATGTGCACGTAACCACGGGGGCGGCCATTGTTGTGCCGAGAGAGATGGACGGATAGCTCGTATACCGCTACCCGACACGCTCCGATCCGCGGCGATATCTTTACCCCTTATTAAAAATTTTTAAATTCACGAACTAAATATGCAGATTCACTTCTCGCGTTATTTATTTACTCATCTAGGCTGTAACGATGCGCCTCCCCCCTTTATGTCATTAAATTCATGTTATTAAACCGTAACTTTCCGTTTGGACTGCGGAAAGTTACGGTTTAATTATATATATATATATATCGCAATGTGTATATCTTTCTTTTTGAGCTATTATTATCGGAAAATTACTTTATTTATTAGAAAGTCGCACGTTGCGCGCCACGCACTCTCGCACGCGTGAGAGACGCAGACGGCTGATTTATTGCACGTGAAATGGAAAGTGTAGCACACACGGTGTACCACGCGCGAATTTTGCGTTACGGTATTTATAAATTCCAGTGCGGGCATCCTCCAATTCCATTTTAATTCCCGTAAAAGTAACAAAACAGATGGCCGCGTTGACGATTTATACGTACCGAGGCCACGCGGGGCCTTCGCCGATCGTATATATACAAACGCACGTATACGTCACTGATTTAGTCTCGAGGAGAAAGTTAATGCTTATTATTCTTCACGCTTCTTTATGATTTATCAAATTGACCGTGATAACGTCGCGGCGCGCTCGGAAAAACCGCCATCCGACGTTTCTTTAATCGATTGGAGAAGATATAATGGAAAGCGGGAATTTTCTTTCCCATTTCCGAGCGGCGGGCTCGACGCGCCGATTGCGCGGCGCGGCGCGAAGTGAGAATCCGCTGCACCTGAAATAGAAAGTGCTTCGGGCGTAACATCAATTACAGGCAATTTTTCGTCTGATACAGCCCGCAGTGTGTAATTATATAACGCACAGTTATGCATTTTCCGCTAATGCAGTGTCGATACCCGCGGATAGCCGGGAGTACCGCGTTATAAGAGCCTCTCCACGCCGCGCCGCGCCGATGGTCGCTCTGGCGTTTAAACTCCAATTATAAAAAAAACCAGTACGTTTATCGTTCCGTAAATCTCGCTGGAGATAAAAGTCACCGCGTAACTTATGAGCGCATTACATCGCGTGTCAGTTTCGGTTGTGGTTTAGTTTAATTAGTTAGGACTCGCATTAACGCCTTGTGAGCTGTGGCGTGCAACGGCTCTTGTACCTTATGAAATACTTTTTCTCACATCGGAAAACATGAGTGAGAATTTTCCACCTTGTGAATTAGGTCACCGCCGTAATTCGATCAACATATTTTATAATCGGATACCGTAAAATACCATAAATGATATATATACGCGCAGCTAAAACGAAAAAACGAAAAAGTACAAAAAATAATCAGAAACAAATAATCGAATCATCACAACATAAAATTGTCAAAAAAGAAATCTAAATCTTGATTTTTCTATTATTTTTAAAACGACTTTATTTTTCTTTTTGCCCTAAAATTCGAACTGAAACTTTTAGTGAAAGCAATACTAAAAAAAATTGTATTTTAATATAAAGGGATTTTAATATTTTTTACCAACAATATTCAAATTATAAAAAAGATAAATGGATGTGGAAATAAGTAAAAATATAGTTACAAAGTATTCTAAAGCTATTTATATCCGTTTAACTTAAGTTAACTTCTAACACGGTTTAAACTCTATAAATTTTTATAATTTGATCGTTATCCCTGTCTATAACTATCGCGCGAGATTCCTGAATAAAAAGCGAGCGTGAGAAAGGTCTCGATCATCGCCCAGGTTAGGAGGATAACGACGCTCTAACGAAACAAGGTCCTATAAAAAGAAATGTCGCATTGAATACAAAGTCGCATGAACGATGAGAGCCGTTTGTCGGCTTTGTTTATTAATTATAAGTGCGAGCGCTATTTTCCCGCGGCGTCCCACTTTACCGCACTTTCACTCTTCAACAGTTACGTTATTGCAGCTCATGAGCGGACTGCTCTCGAAGAGCTGTACATCTTTAGCGCTCGTATAAGAGGATCATATCCTTCGTACTTTCGTGAGAACTGGGAGAATCAAATTCACAATCTTTTGCCGTCGCCCGCTGTGTTACGGGGATCTCGCCGGTTCTCGCAATCGCGAAGATCGCGCGCCGGTTCTCCGCGTTCCGAGAGGGAATTTCCCTCCGCGTGCGTGAATAGGCGGGCTCGATGCAAGATGCAATATGTAACTATAATGTGTACATAACACAAGACACATTTATATCTTACGTGTAACACGTAAGATGTAAATGTGCAACAATTAATGAGGCGTCGCTAAATTTCTGCAAGAGCTGAATCTCGAGTTAAAAGACTGATTTAATTAGGTAACGGTAATTGTGATGGTCGTATTGTAGAACGATTAGAGGGAGAAAGTGTCGTTTCTATCACAAAACGTAGTTTTCCTCCTTAACAAGCAGACGGTTTGTATTTGTTGTACAACACTTCCTGCGATTAACATCGACAGGATATCGTGAATCGATAGGTGAAGCGACCTTAGTATTAGACGCGAAACACGGTTGTTTTATTTTGATTCCAATTAAATAGGATAAAAAACTCGAAAATGGCAAAAACTTTTCAATCTCGCTTTACTCCGAACAGCTTCCATTTCAACGGAGATTTAAATTTTATCATTAAATTATGCAGTTATTTAATATCGAAAATTAAGCAATTAACTTTATAATGAAAGGAAAGTTGGACGGTTATGCGACAATATACATATATTTGTCACGTTCGCAAAAAGAGAGAGAGAGAGAGCTTCCTCGTGGAAAATACCGAGTCGACCGAGTAAACAGATTAGAAATGGTTAAGACACCATCGCGTCACCCGCATGGTGCCGCGGAAAAGTGATAAATTGTCCTCGCGTGCGAAATTATACACGCTTAGAAGAGGACGTGCAGAAGAACGATATCGTTTCCCGGCGAAACGGCGATAAGTCAGCGTGAAATATCGCCTTGGCTCGCGGATCACTGACCGTCTCGGGCGGGCAGATGGATCCTGTATTCATCATCTTCGAGCCTGCCGGCTGCTATTCGGACCCTCTTACGCCAACGTACATAAGTGAAAGTTCGCAAGTAGGACGCGCGCGCGATGTCCAATCCTCGATGCCCGATGCGGAGACTCGAATGCCGGACATCGGCTAGCGCCGAAATTGATGAACATCGATGCTAAGAAATTATACGGGGAAAAAAAGGCGCAGTTCCTGTTTCATGAATTCTTTCGCTACTTTCGAAAAATTATACGACTCGCCCGTCGTCGCGGCGAGTCTTTGGTTTCTGGTAATAATAACGGCAGGCTCCCCGATTTTTTTTTCCCGTTCCGAGCGATCTGGCTTCTCTCGCGAGGGTCAGAAAATAGATAGGATAGAAAATTGTCGGCTTAGATGATCTGTCCGATCTGGAACGAGCTGGCAGGTTGCGCAAATGCGGACACGAGATGTCTGCGGAACGTTGCAGGGCACTTTTGCAATCCCGGGGGGAGGTCTCTAACGGGTCATCTCGTTCAATTGCTCCACTGAATCCGCACCTTTCGCAACGGTTTCGCGCGAACATGACTTATATACAATCTCCCGTGTGATTTCTTGCGAGCGAGTTACCTCACGCCACGCATGCAGCTTCGACATCATGCTTTGAAAAATATGTTTCCATGTAATTTATCAGATCGGAATCATCTGTCGTACGTTGACGTAAGAGGATGACGTCTCGCGCTGTGCGAAATCTCTATAAAAGGAGATGAGAAAAAGACGATTTTCGCACATTTCTGAATACGGAATATTTCACATGCTGTTGAAAATTATAGATAGAGGAAAATTATTTTTATAAAAGAACAATGTCATATATTTTTTCAACTCTATAATTGTTCATGTATAAAAATTTTTAAAAATATATCTTAACAGTGCACGTAAAGAGAGAAGATTGATCGCGCCATTGTGTCGCGCGATGCAACGGCGCGATCAATCTTTGTCAATCCACCTGCGGTATATCGCGCGCTCTATTGTAGAATATATTTTATAAGAAAAATAGAAAAAGACCAGCGTCTTCTTGCGCGTATGTGAAATCAACAGAGGTTGCATCGTTTTCGTTTGCAGCAACGTGCAATCTGCACTGCTATATACGTATATATACGTTTCATGAAAGTCGGCGTGACTATTATTCCGAGACGGGCAAGCTCCGTACATTAAAGTCGGAGTCTAGAAATGCTAATGATATTATAATTGCGGCCACCTTTAAATTGTGAATGTCCATCAAGATGACCGATTCGTAAGCTGGAGCGCCCAGGTTCGAATAATCATCGTGCGGTTTGGAGCGACGTCCGAACGTCCTTTCTCACAAGGATTATCAAATAGATCGGAAACGATCACTTGACTCGAGGAAGTCGGGGTTTAACGAAGCTTAGCGTACCGTAGCGAAAGTAATCCGCCACCACTCCCCCTTCGGGCTGCTGGCATTAAAATCCATCACGCTCTTTCACCGAATAACTCCTCCTCGTTGAGAAAGAGGAGGAAAGGTGAGTTTCAGTTTCGATGGGCCTTGGAGGTCGCGGAAAAGTGAGGACGCTTAGTATAATGGTCCCCTCCACGGCCGATCGCGTGGCCGGGCGGATTTGAAGAAAGTTGTCGTGTGAGCGAAGAAGATAACATTCCACGCCGCGCACATCTTCTCTCTTTCTTTTTTTTCCCTCCCTCCCTACCGTCTTCATTTACGTATGCGTCCACGTGTACGACGGACACGAACACCAACGAGGCGAGTGTCGAGGGGGGCCCCCTCGGAGAAAGGTGCTGCTCCACCGTGTTCGATATTAGAGAGGAGCTTCTTGAAGAGCGGTGGCCGCCGGTGGTGGTGGCACCGGGTAGGGAGAAACGGGCCCCTGGGCTCGATCTGTCCTCAGTTCCCATGCGAGATTCCGCTCGGTATCGTTCAGCCAAAGCACGTCCGATCGTCTCGAGCGCGAGTCATGTCGCGAGTCATCCTCTTCTAACGCGAGGAATCGGCCGGTGAGAAGTGTGTGTGTATGTGTGTGTGAATCTCCCCGCACGAGGAAGAGCTCCCGAAGAACGATCGCAACGATGCGGTTCGCCAAGCTGGTAATTATAAACGGGGCGCGCATCTCCGCGCGGAGGGCGGATGGACCGTTTGAAACGGAGGCGCTTGTACTTTCATTGTAATAAGCATGTCGCGCGACGGTAAACCGAGACCCTCCACGGTTCTATCATTTGCAATCAGCGAGCGTATCGGCTCTCACGCACGGGGGAAAGTGCTCTAATAAATCGTGGCGGACGCGACCGGCAGCGATACGACCGCTAATCGTATCCCGGGAAGATCAACGGCCGTTTAATCGCGGCTCCATCGAACCCGGAATCGTTTTTCTCTCGGTCGGCCTTGCGGGCGTCCGCGGTGGGCGATTCATGTGAAAAGAGGCGCGCTCGGGGCCTCATTCGAATATGCTAACCATCACCGAGAGAGGCACCGAATTCTCGAGGTGAAACGCGACGCCGTGCCGGTCTTAAACTTTGATTCTCTTTCTCTTTCTCCGTCACCCACTTCTTGGTAGACTTTAAAGGATTAATTGGGTACACTCGGACATATTCTATTGTGTGAGATGGTGTGTTTTTTCTGGTTTTATAGAATCATAGAAAAGAATACCGACGAAATTTTAATAAGAGTAATTATCTTGATTTGCTATGTACAATTAATGTAAACAGTTACTTTTGAAATAGTTACTTTTAATACACAAAAATATTATTATATTAGATAAAAAATTGTTACAGATATTAGAATGAAAATTTTATTTTTAAAAATGATCAAAATGTGATAAAAATAAACATTTTTTTATTTTATTTAATAAAAATAAAGTAATTAATGTGGCATGTGATATTATCACTTGATAAAAGAATAAATATGTTTTTTAAGCAAGACTCAAGACCGTCAGTGGAGCATACGGAATCTCCCGGTAGTGGAAGTTTGGGAGTCGAGCGATTTCAGAGAAACGAGAAACGTTGCAAGTCGACCTTGCCATATCGAGAGCGCAGTCACAACTGGGAATCGCTTATCAGGCTAACTGTTTCTCGATTCTCACTAGCATACCAATCGATTCGAAGCCCGTTAAGGCCTTCGATGAGTTTTCTGGTTATTAAACGGGTTACTCGGTTATCAGAGCGCGTTAAGTCCTCCGTTTTAAATTTACATTTCGCCTGTTATGCTAATCAGCTTGAAACGCTGGCACTGTTAATCGATTAGAGTATTAGTAGCGATACGTACGCTACTTTCCAAAAAATTACATTATTGCAAAAAAAATTAGAACTTTATATATCAGAGCTTGAAAAAATTTCTATTTATACCACAAATTTTAAAGCCGATAACAAACATTAATTTTATCATGCTAACAATGCAGCATCGCGATATAAAAAGATGTTCTGTCAACGCGCCGGTTCCCTTTTTCCTTTCCAGAGACTCCTCACGGCGACGCTCCTCGTCGTCGCGACCCTCGCCAAGGAGGAGAGCACGTCGTCGAAGAACCGCGACAAACGTCAGCAGATCACCTTTTTGCGAAAGGCTGGTCGTCTGCCGCCGTATGCGGTGCAGATGGAACCGATAGTGCAATATTCTCAGAGAGATCCTTTGTACAATCCCTTGGCGAACCCGAAGAACGACGATCTGTACGAAGAGACCCCGTTGAGCTATTATCAGACGGAACCCGAGCCGATCATCGAGATCATCATCAAGGAATCCAATGAGTCTCTTCCGACTCCAGTGCCGCCATCGCTTCCTCCCCAACCACGACCCACTAAGGAACCCATTCAGGTCTTCTACGTGAAATACGAGAAGAAAAAGGGCTACGGGGACAAGACCCGCGTCGTTTACGATCCACCGATCCCCGCGCTGACGCCGGTGGAGGAGCACGAGGAAATTAAGCCGGACAACCCAGCATCGTACGCGGAAGAGCCGACGTACACGGTGACACCGGCACCACCTCCGGAACCGTCGACGACCTTACGCGCCATCATTCGACCCGACAGCGAGGTGTACCATTCCGGCGGCAGCGGTATCCGCGTGACCTTCGGCACGGAGCAGGTGCCACCCAACAGTCACAGCAAGCGCAGCGACCTGGAGACGCCTGAAGGCAGCACCCGACAACACGTCAGCAAGCCGACGACGTCGCCGGGCGCGCCGAAGAGACAGCACGGGCCGTATCAGCCATTGCAACCACCGCAACCCCCGCGAGTGTCACCCGCGTTCCCACAACAGAGGATTATCCACTCGTTCCCGCCGCAACCGCAAGCTACGACGTTCTTGCAGCAGCAGCAGCAGCAGCAGCGACCGCTACCACCGCCACCACCGCCGCCATCGACGCTTCATCAAGCATTTCCATCTCAGCAAATTTCCACCTCCTTGAGAAACTCACCACCGCCACCGCCATCGAGACCATTGCAGCGGCATCCCATAACAATTCAGGGTCTCCCGGAGGTACAACAACGCGCGACGTTCAACACTTTCGGTCCGCCGCCGCATCACGTCAACATCAATCACCCGCAGCAACCGGGATTCCCGCCTGCGCTGTCGATATCGCATCAGAGTGTTCATGTACAGAATCGACCATTGTCGTTGCCACAAAATAACTTCGCGGAACCGCCTCAGCAAACGTTATCGGTCAGGCCTGGCGGCTTCAATCCGGAGTCGCCGCCGCCGCAGCAGCTGTTATCCAGACCGAATAGTTTCAACGCGGAGCTTCCGCAATCGCTACCTCCGTTTAAGCAGCAGGAATTGGAGAAACAACGTTACCACGAGCAACGACGACAGCAAGAGCTATTGAAGCAACGGGAGCATCAACGGCAGCACGAGCAGCAGCGATTCTTGGATCAGCAGAGACAGGCCGAGCAACAGAGATTGTTGGAGCAGCAGAGGCAACAGGAACATCAGAGACAACAGGAGCACCAGAGGCTTCAGGAACAGCAGCGACTGCAGGAACAACAACGTTTGCAAGATCAACATCGGCTGCAGGAGCAGCAGCGTTTGCAAGAATTGCAGCGCTTGCAGGAACAACGCAGGCGGAAGCAGGAGCAAGAGCTGAAATTCATTCAGGAACAGCAACGCTATCGCACGCAGCTCAAGTATAATCAGGCGCAGCAGCCGCAATTACAACCGCAATTGCAGGTACAATTACAGCCGCAATTACCATTGCAATTATCGCCGCAACGGCCGGCGAGTGAAATCTTCAAGGCCGTGCCTAAGCTGGAGCAGCATTTCGCAATCCGAGAAAATCCTCTTCATCCCGGTCCGTTCCCGCCAAATCCCACGATAGTGCAACCAACGGTAACATTCTCCGAACTCCCCCAAACCCAGTTTATATCCCCGCAACCGTTCAATGCTCATCACAATTCCCAGCAACTGTCTGGAAGTTCGACAAATCACTTTATTTCCGGTGAGAGTCTGCAGCAACAATTAAACCAGCGGTTAAATACAAAGCAGTCTCATCAGAATACCCAGCAGAGCTTCTTCTCGCAAAATCTTCCGACGTCGCAGCAGCAACCGCAAACCACTTTCTCTCAGCAGTCATCAATATGGGGCCGGCCATTGTTCCAGAATAATCCCTCGCAGAAGATCTACGCGACCCCGGTTAGCCCCTCCGAGGAGCTCAACTCGCCGCCGTCGACCGCCAGAACGTTCCTACCGACAACCGCGAGTACGACTACTACAAGTACCACGACCACCGAAGCGCCAACCACGACGACGCTCTCGCCGAATAAGGCCGCCAAGATCAAGGAGAACATCGCGAATCTACCGGACGAGGTGCCGGACGACATCAGGGAGCAGCTGCTGAGCTCCGGTATTTTGGGCAACGCCGACATCCAGATCCTCGACTACGACAAGATCGGCGATATACCGATCGAGAAGCTGCCGCCGGAGGCTCTGGCGAATTTCTACGGCGCCGGAGGCGGGGCGGCGATTGCCGCCGGCAGCGAGCCCGTGCCGACGGTCATCAGGAGGCCGTCGAAGGGGACGCAGAAGAAGGCAACGGCGAACCTGACCCCCGCTGGCTACGGCGGCGGTAACTCGACCAAGTTCGAGCAGGCCACCTTGCGGCCCGGTGGCGTGGAGATGAAAGTAGTACGCTTCGATCCGAATACGGAGCACGGCCGGGCCGTGGCGGAGCAGCACATACGGGACGACGCGACCCGGCTCGAGCCGGTGACCGTGGGATCGCAGCGCGGGGATGACGCGGCGCAGTACAATCGTTATCTGCCGCTTAAAGTGAGCGGCGCGTCCTTCCCGATACCGGACGTGCCGGAGCTCAACGGCCGTAGGATCTCGAGCGTCGTGGTGCTGGCGCCCGTCGACTACGACTTTCCCGGCGAGGAGAGGGAGATCGCCGCGGCGGCGGAGTCGTTGCAGCGGCGCGGCAGGAAGGTCGGCGGCGACGCGCAGCCGGTCAGATTTCTCGCCGGCGACACCCTCAAGCAGCTCGTGAAGAAGCCCACCGTCGAGAATTACAAGAAATGGCTCGAGCAGGAGAGCCGCACCGAGCCGCAGAGACAGTCGGTCGTGCTCCTGGTAACCACGTAAGTGTCCGATTATATGTGACGCTTGCACACGCGTAATAAGATTGTCGCGATCATTTTCTCTTAACGCTTCAGGCACTTTTAGATATTTGGTTTCTTTAGTGCCGCTTTCTAAAAAATCGACACGTTACATCACCTCGTATCACTTCTGCATTCGCGATGAAAGTCGTTAATACAGCGTAGATTTAAGTCATCATTTTCAAATTATGAATAATTACTGATATACCACTGATGAAATAAAAATTGTTTGCTCTTATTCTTTTAGCAATGAAATTCTGCTTAATCCAATAGCTATTTAAATATATTTTTTTGTATTTGTATCGTTTAATACTATCACAAGAAATTACTAAATTCTTTAACATTTTCTAAATTTATAATTTCGCAGCACTGATTATTATATATAATTTTGGTTCAATTTTACGTACCGTGTCGCTCGACAGTTCGCTCCATTAAACTTCTCTCTTGTCGCGTATTTCAATCGTCCGTCTCGTGAATCTGCTCGAAAGTCAAGGAATTCGCGCGAGGCTGCGCGCTTTCACTTGGATTCACTGCGGTGTTTTAGGCCGAGAGACGGTGACGGTCAGGGTGACAAGGAAATCTTCATGTACGACGTGACCTCTGGATCCGTTAGCAGGCTGGCCGGTGATCTCTCGACGGCCTTCGTGGACGCGGCCGAGAGCAATTCCGACGGCACCGATTCCATCGACGACTCGACCTTCTCGGCATATTAACTTAGTCTTGTAAAAGAAAGGCTTTCTATCTCGAAATTTTTTAAAATGTTTAACCCAGGCGCATTTCTTTCTTTCGAACGGCTCTACAACACGATAATATATATTTAAGATTATGTCACCGTTTAAAAAAAAAAAGGATAAAAAAAGTTCTTTGCATTGCGATTAACATACTTCTCGAGTGATTTTAACTAAATCGAATATGACTTTTTCGTCGTTTCGCGACGAAGAAAATGGATTGATTTAGGTTTGTGTGTTGCTTATGCGATAATGAATATCAATGGTTAAACGCTGATGAAAAACAGTATATAAACGATGGATTTTCTAAGATCGCGTGGCGCATTTCTTAATTTATACGATTTGGGCAAAATAGGGAAAAAAAAGAGGGTAAGGATTGCGAAGAGAGTCGAAGAGAATTGCAGCGTGGCAAATTACTTCGTGTATCCTTGTAGATATCTATAATATGTATTATTATGTATATATAAGAATAATTTTGTACTTTTTTATACGAAATAAAACGCAGTCTTTTTATGTTTGCACTGTGCATTTCAAACGTCCGGAAGTTTCCGCGCGGAAGTTAAAAAATAATACCACTTGTGATATTTATACACAATAATATTCGTATAACGCTTGAAACTTATTTAATAATTGTATATTAAAATCTTTGCAGAATTTCGCATTTTTAAACAATGAAAGAAAAAATTTTTTACCTTACAAAGAGAACTTTAAAAAGAAATTGTTTAATTATTTAAAATAAGAGTTATAAAACGAAAAAAAAAATATTTAACGCGAAAAGAAACTTATTTAATATTGTATATTAAAATCTTTGCAAAATTTCGCATTTTTAAACAATGAAAGAAAAAATTTTTTACCTCACAAAGAGAACTTTAAAAAGAAATTGTTTAATTATTTAAAATAAGAGTTATAAAACGAAAGAAAAAATATTTAACGCGAAAAGAAACTTATTTAATATTGTATATTAAAATCTTTGCAAAATTTCACATTTTTAAACAATAAAAGAAAAAAATTTTTGCCTTACAAAGAGAATTTTAAAAAGAAATTGTTTAATTATTTAAAATAAGAGTTATAAAACGAAAAAAGAAAAAATATTTAACGCGAAAAGATATTGTAACGGTATACATAACGGAAAGAGATATTTTTACGTAATTCTTGCATGCATGACGCGAATGACATGTAGGTATAATAAAGAAGCAATGTTCATTTCTAATGTAGATTAACTTTTTTATTTATTCTATCTTTTTTAATATTTAAAACTGGAAAGAGATAAAAAGTAAGTTAAGCCGAGATTAACATTGTAAAAAAATGGGCATTAGCCTATTAACTTTCTACGAATCTATGCAGAAAGTGAGACTTACTTCTCATGCACGCAAAGATAGTTAGTTGGAAATCTCGCTTTGAATTGTTTCAAGCTTCGAAGTTTCCGGGAGAAGTTTCCGTGTCAGAGAGCGCTACGAACGTCGATGAACGTTGACACTTATGGCGGATCGCAGGTCGCGGGCTCTTTATTGTGCAGTATACCGTACCGCTAATTCGTACGCGAAATTGTAAAACGGATTGTTCCACCGGCAAATCGTGATAACGAGAACGTTTTGCACGCCGCCGATCTCGTCGTGCAATTATCACACATGAGCAACGTCGCGACTCGATCTCTCGCTGTGATTAATCTAACCAAGTAAGTTAGGTTAGGTTAGATTTGTTGATCGACGATTATTTCCCCGACTTGGGATTCGATTCGCGAATAAACGTGGAAAGTATGTCAAATTGGCGGTCGAGTCACAGCGGCGTCGCCGAACGACGGGACACGCATAAGAATAACAGGGAGAACAGGCGCGACAGGAATAATGAGGCTCACAGAGACAGATCGCAGAGGAGCAGGGACAGGGATCACAGGGGTGGCAGACGCGAACACACCAGGAGGGACGACGAGAAGCAGGGGGACAAGAGGAAGCACGAGAGATCGCCGCTGAGGCGGGAAAACAATTATCCCAGGCACCGGGAGCGCAACGAGAGGAGCAGGAGTAGGGACAGGAGGGACGAGTCCGGCAGGAGACGCAACGATCAGCACAAGCAGAAGCGAAGCCCGGAGGAGACGAGGGCGAAGAGGGAATCCTCGGCGGAATGGGGCAAGGCGGCTGCGAAGGAGGAGAAGGAGAAGCCCAACTTCGAGCTGTCGGGTAAGTTGACGGAGGACATGAACACCGTCAACGGAGTGGTTATCAAGTACTCCGAGCCGGAGGACGCCAAGAAGCCCAAACGCCGATGGCGATTGTATCCCTTCAAAGGCGAGAAGGCGCTACCCACGTTGTACATACACCGGCAGTCGGCGTATCTCATGGGCAGGGATCGCAAGGTGGCCGACATACCCCTGGATCATCCCTCGTGCTCGAAGCAACACGCCGCTCTGCAGTATCGTTTGATCCCCTACCAAAAGGAGGGTGGCGTCGAGGGTAGAAGAATACGGCCGTATATTATCGACTTGGAGTCCGCAAACGGCACCTTTGTAAATAATGTAAAATTGGAACCGAGGAGGTATCATGAATTATTGGAGAAGGACGTGGTACGGTTTGGCTTCAGCACCAGGGAATACGTTCTGCTGCACGAGCACAGTAAGGATGATTCCTTCGACGATGATGTACCTCTTACAAATGCGACTTAAGAGTAATTTTACGTAAGTAATTTAACACGTTTACATATCGCATTACATACTTGCAAGATTAAATGAGATAGAGTGTTGTAAACTGAATATATTTGACATGTATAAATGTATGTAACACAGATTCAAAGTTACTTAGCGAATATTTTGGAATTATAATTTTTTTCTCAATTTTTTTTGTTTTGTTAATGCTGGAATGTAATGAGAATAATTCAAGTTTCAAATTAGCTTTTTGCTTTTAGTTTTTCTTGTTACATTTAACTGAACATATAATTATTCTTTCTTTTTTGCGTAATCTAAAAATGTCTGTACTATTAATTTCAGGAACTTATTTCTAATAGGGAAAAAATCCAGAGATGAATACGTATGAAGACTGACGCAGAAATTAAGCTGTGAGAAGCGAGGTGTCTGTGCGAAGAGGAAAAGATCCACTATATGTGTAGATACAGTCTTATTAATAATCGTTTGAATTCTCCAAATCGTTTTAAATGCATATTAATATTATTCACGTATAAGATAGTAATTTTTGACAATTTCCAAAATATACTTTGGAAATCCGAGATTTGTTTACCACAAAAAAAAAAGAGGAATAGTGGTACTTCACTTTTCTTTTGTACATTTTTCTGTGTTTCTTTGATATCTTAATAGAGTTTGAATTGTATCGTGTGCATGTAACTTGTAGGTTATAAAAAATAACTAAAACTCATGTATATTATTTGTAATATATTATTTACAATTACTTGTAATATTCACTGATTCATAATTTATTTTGCTATATAAAGTTACTCGAAAAAAAAAAAAACAAATTTGATGTATAGTCAGTCCATCGACGCAAACTTCGCAAGATTTTATACATTATAATTTATCTTTTCGATAAAATTAATAAAATTACACATAGACTTTCATATTGTTAAAACTACGCAGAAAACTTAACAATTTCTTATATTAAGTTCCATATTTGCTAATTGTCATCAAACATGAAATTTGTACAATGAACAGTGAAAAATTTCACAGATTTTATTCAAAAAATATGTTATTTAAAATTATAATTATAAAGTTAAGCTCCTCTCTATATATTTATTTCACATTTATCATTCTATATCAACATATTATTCCTATTTAATTCTATTAAATAACAGTTTCGCGATTTATTACTAAAGTTACAAAATTTATACGTTCCGAAACAATCTGCCATATCTGCGTAACAAATTTTTGAGTATAAAAGATCATGTATGTACATTAAAAGGGCAGTTTAAAGCTATTCTCAACTCCGCGCATTCCTCTCTATCTTCTTCACATACGAAATACTTGGGCATTAATGATAATAAGCAGAGCTTAATGTATGAGCGTACGTAGTTTGATATATTTAAGGCACCGTATTTTAGGATAAAAAAGAAACAAAAAATTTGAGCAAAATGGTAGCGACTGTCTCGAGTAATTTTTTACATACTACAAGGCAACTCCGTCTGAATAGTTCGTGAAGAATAGATCCGTGGGAATCTTTAAAAAAAAAAATTGTTTCAAAAATAGTACGCGAGAGTGATGTAGAAAAATCTATTGTCACATATTTTATAAATATTGGAATATGTAATTGCCTCGATTTATGTCATTCAAGCTCAGAATCTACGATCCGTACACCTAATTTTATACGAAGCGTTCGTACGAATCTTCCGAGATTTGCCACGGTCAGCGACTCACGATCCATTCACTCTGACAGCGTCCGCGTTTATATTAGTATACGTGACGATATTGCCGCTCGGCGTCGACGACGGTGCGTCCTCGACGACGGGCGTCTGCCGCAGTAGATTCAGCAGCGCGCTGTTTATCACGAGCGGTATGTTCGCCTTGCCGTTCTGCAAGCTCGAGTGAGTCCTCTGGACCTTCGGCAACGTACTCTTCGTCACCGCGCTCTCGCTCGAGAGCACCTCCCCGTTCACGGCGCTCGAGACGACGACGACGTTGCTCTTCAGGCACGGTAGGACCGTCTGCGAGGTGATCAGGGACGAACTGGGACGTGTCGAAGGCGCCAGGCTGTGCGTGCTGCAGCTTTTATCCTCGATGCTCGCCTCGGAATCCCGTCGCTCGTTCAAGCCGATCTTGTACTTCCTCTGGCCATTCAGGGACGAGAAGGAGCCTCTATTCAGGGTCGCCTTCGCGATCGAGTTCACCGATTTCGAGCTGTCCAGCGTGTTGCACTTCTCCGGCATTCCTGAAATCGACGTGCCCTTTTGATCCGGCAAGTTCAGACTAGCGATCGACGATCTCTTGTACAGCTTCCCGTTAGACAGCTTCCTGTCCTCCGTCGAGCATTCCTTCCGCTCATCCGTGGCCTCCGTAGGCAGGCTGCTCTTACGATCGTGATTTGTGCAACTGATCGTGCTTATATTCGATAGGTTCTGATCCGAGATGTGGATCGAGCGAGGTACTTCGTAACCGTTCGTAGGATTCTCCCTCAGGACAATGTCCTCGTTGTCCGCTAATAATTCTAGATACTTGGGAGCCTCGCCGGACTGCGGGCCGAGCGTGGCGTTGTTCGAGTTTTGCAGGAAAGGTTGCATGTCTCGACTTCCCTCGGAACTACTGGACTTCCAGGAGTTTCCTATGCAGAGCAACGATGACAGTTTATAGCAGAGTGATTGAATCTTGTTAATTTATTAATTGAACTCTAAAAAGAACGTATTTCTTTGTGATGAGAGAACGACATTTCGGTACATCACACATCTTCGTGTTACATTACTTTTATATTGTATACGCAAGAAATTGTGAATCACATTGCGCACGGGTTAATTGCAATGATCGGAAAAATACGCTCGATGAAGAGTGGAAAAAAGTCATATCTTCTGGCGTGTGATGGTAGGGTAGAGAAGGCAGATGATGTTTTGTTAAGACCTACCTGAATTATTATGATTCTGATTCTCTTCAGCAAAGTAAGCCATGTTAGACACGCCTGCAAGCACGAGCCATGCAATGATCAATATGTATTCAAGCAGACAGAGTAAAATTCCAGTACATTTTTAGGGAATGAAGTAGGTTCGCGATAAAACAGATTTCGTCATTATGATTTGACAGTGTCGAGTTATGTGAATGAATGAGAAACATGCTTATTTTTCGTGACACGGGAGAGATGATCGAGAAATCAATCGAAGAATAAATCTTTGTTATCTAACAATTCAGAAGGAATTTCTTCATTTTTCAAACATTTATAATTTGCGAAGTAAGGTAGATCCTTCATTCGCTGTATTTTTTCTCATTCTGCGAATTCCGTTGTGTGTCTTTTCACATAATTTACACATTGTATACATATAAACGACTTTGTATTGTGCAAATTTATAGTAGTCACGTTACGCGTATGATAGAACGAATATAACGGTACGTATATCGGTTTTTGTACAACGTAAGGTAAGAAAAAATTTTAATCAACGTTTTATTGATTCGCGAAGATTCCTCGCTCCATGCAATAATATACGCGCAAGTAAGGATCAATGTTAATTCACCTCTGCGTGCCAGATAGTGCCCAGCGTGCGCCGGGCTCAGCACTGCGTCTTCTATGTGACCTCTCAGAACGACGATGCTCTCGAGGCAAATTTTGAAGCTCGGCCTGGCGTCCGCCGTGCTCCAGCAACGCAGCATCAGCTGGTGCAACGTCGGTGGGCAGTTGAGGGGCTTCGGCAGCCTGCCGCCCGCACGCACGTAATGCAACACCTCGAGATTGGTTCTGGCGGGATAGGGTTGCTGGCCCAACGACGTTATTTCCCACATTAGCACCCCGAACGCCCAAACGTCGCTCTGCGAGGTGAACACCCCGTCCACCAAGGATTCCGGTGACATCCAGCGAACGGGAAGCAAACCTTCGCCTTCCTGAAATGTGAGTAGCAATTTTAATTTTAACTCGTTTTACACGAATCGTATTTATTTTTTAAACGAGCGTGCGTTTAATCGAACACCGTTCGCTCAATTTCTTGTGCACAAAAATAATTATTTTCTTAAGTTCTGCTTATGCATAAAGATAAATAATGTTATTTATCTTTATGATGTTAAAATGAAAGTGAGTAACTTATGAAGTTTCCTTCATTTTTTTCAAAAGTTTGCGATTTACCTTCCGATAATAGTCATTCTTGTAAATATCTCTGGCTAGTCCGAAATCGCCAATTTTCACGACGCGGTTTTCGCGATCTCTCGCGGACACCAGACAATTTCGACACGCGAGATCTCTGTGCACGAAGTGCAATTCCTCCAGGTAGCGACAGCCACGCGCGACGTCCTCGCACATGGCGAGCAGGTCCTGCAGACGCAGAGCGTGCGAGTCTGTAGGCTGCAAGGACCGACTCTCCCTTAAATAACTTAGCAGATCACCGGCCTCCATTAATTCCAACACGAGTAACGGAGGATCCGTGTCCAAGCAGACACCCAGTAACCTCAGCACGTGCTTGTGACGAAAATGACTCATGAGCCTGGCCTCTTGCACGAATTCCGTCTTCTCTTGCGAAGAGGCGTCCTTACGTAGCATCTTTATGGCGACGGGCGTTATGCCCGGTCCTTCTAAATCCTTGGCATTTCCCTGAAATACCTGCGAAACATTTAAAATTGATTTAATATAAATCACATTTAAAAAATCCTATATTTTAATATTGCGGAAATAATTCATTCTTCTCCCGCGTCTGATTTTGTCTTAAAATAGCTTTAGTAGAGGAGATTCTACTGAAAATACACATTTTATTTCTTGGCTCCCTAAAATTCTACGGATTAAAATGATTTTTATTAAGATCTTGATAAAAATTAGATTTCTTACCTTTCCGAACGCGCCGCTACCTAGGAACTTCGTCAGCGTGATTTGCTCTTGTCTGATTTTGGGCAGTGCAGAATCGTCCGGATCGTTTTGTAGCGTAGAGGCATAAAGCGCGTTAGATTGCACGAAGTTCCCGCGAGGGATCTCACGGAGGGTCGCTAATTCGACATTGGACACTATCGGTGGCAAAACTGTCTTCTTGTCTTCTTTCCGTTGTCGATACACTGCTGAATAACATTACGATATACTCGTCTGATCTCACGCATTGCCACGTAAATGTACAATAATTAAACGTAAATCGTCTTCTATTGACAAAAGTTTAATTTAAAAAATTCCATTCTATCGAAATTAATTTTCGCAATACTTACAGCAGAAAAAATAACAAAAGCACACGAACACTATGGTAATAACGATCGCGATGAGGCCCAGCATCAGCGGCAGATGCTGTTGCGTAGCCAGTATTCCGCCGGCATTCTCCGTTAGATCAACGATCGCGCTCGATTTACTCCAAGCGCCGAAACCATAGGCATTTTTGGCTTGCACGCGAAAATGATACTTCTGATCCACGTCCCCGGGAATTATCCAATAATTATCCGTTCCGTTGTAATACAAATTCCAGTGCTCGTTCTCGCTACTCTTGTCGCCTGGCTTGTAGCTGTCGTCGACGACCAGGCCTTCCAGTCGATACAAAGTCACCTGCGAGCCGTGAGCTTGCGCGGGATCCCAGTTAATTTGATACAAGGCATTTCGGAATCTCGTTACTACAGGCACCCCCGGAGCGCTCGGGACGTCACCTTTGTTGAACACAGAATACAAGTTCAAGTACTTGTTTTATTTCATTATATTTACTTCTATTTGAAACCTCATCGTGTTAACTTAATTGTATTTTTATAATAATACTAAAACATATTTTCGCACTTAATAAGAATGGGATATCAATAATGCCTCAAAATAATTATTATGTAATATGATAAATAAATTCGATTACCGAGCGTTTGGAATGTAAATCTCTCATCGGACGGCCATATAAAGTCCTCCTTATATTTCAGCCGCAAGCGAAATTTGTACGAGGTGCGCGGCTGCAAGCCTTTTATATGATACACCACTTCGCTTCCGTTCGCTTCAGCGTGTCGCGCGACTTGCCACTCCTCCGTGGCAACGTCCTGGTACTCCAACAAGTAGTCGAGCGTCAGGTTGACGCTCGGGGTCCAAGATATGTTCATGCTGTTCATGCTTACTCCGTTCATCGTCAAGTTGTTCGGCTCCGAGTACATGTAAAGGTCTTGGCCGTGGCTGTCGTTGTATAAGTTGTAGAAATCGGCGGGATACACGCGGACGCTCACCACATACTTCTGCCCCGGCGACAACGGCTGCAGTATCATGAAAAATCTACCGTCCGCCGTGCGTTTGAGGTCGGTGACCAGCTGCTCGCCCTTTGGTCGCACGCCGTCCTGCGAGTAGATCGGGGATACCCAGTGCACCTCGTAGGACACCATCGCGGAGTTCAGCAACTGGGGCGGCATCCAGTAAACCGCCGCCTTCGTCGGCGTTAAGGCTTCAACCGTGACGTTCTCCGGCCTGCTGGGCCTGCCCGCGCTGGTCTTCAGCACCACATCCGCGCCGAATTTCGGTGTTGACAGCATGTCAACGTATAAATTGGTCAGCGCCAGTTTCAACTTGTATTCCGTGAACGGTCTTAATCTCTTGATCTCGAAACGCCTCTCGTACGTCTTCACCGTGAGCTCCTCGCACTTGCTGGGCTCCTCGTTCTTCAAACAGTGGGACACGTTGATGCGGTACAGCGTGGTGGGTAGACTGTATCTGTGACATCCGTGCTCAGGACTCGGCTCCGGAAGACTGACGAGGATGCTGTCCGCCGTTTCGCTCACCCTCTCGACGTTGTAGTTTATTTGGCGGGGTCTCAGGCACATCGCGGTGGGATAGGGTTGCAGGGACTTGCCGAAGGCTTTGATCTGACGTACGTTAGGCAGATAGAAGCTCTTCACCTCTGGCTTGGACGAGTTTTCCTTGTCCGCCACGAAGGAATGTTCCTTTTTCAAGAAATAGATTTGATCTTCCGTTTCATTAGACCAGTATATGTTCATTTTATCGACCGTGAGATATGTGAGAGCCGGTGTTTTGAAGCTTGCCTGCAATATCACATTGCACTCGCAACCGTAAATATCAGCCACGTTTAAGCGCCCATTCGATGATATCCAGTACATCATCGGTTTTTTGATATTAGTCTTGTCAATTGTCAATGTGGATATTAGAGACTGTAGGTATCTCTGCGGACAGGTGCACGCGCTACTATTGTTTCTAAAAAAGTATTGCACATTTTTTCCCTCGAGATCCGACTGCATTATTGCACTTCCCTCATTCCAATATAAAGAGCTGGAAAAAATTTTATTTATCTAACTTTAATTAGGGATTTTAATATAATAAAATAAATACATAATAAAATAAATACAATTAAGACATTTTCTTTACAAAATTTCATGTTTTCTAATTCATAATTTATCATTTTGATTATAATAAAGTTAGCATTTTGAAAAATGAAAAAAATGACAATAATTATATTAAAAACAAAATTGACATACCCCAAAGATGGCAGCATATCTAAAGTCGGAATACGTCCTCCTCTCCTTAATATAATGTCGTATTTGACTATGTGGCTTGACCACATTGTTAAATCCAATCTCATGATGTAGCTGCTGCTGATTTGCCACTCGTCTTTATTATATTCATATTCCACCCAGTACAGATTTCTCGCTACCCAATCGACGCAGAGGCTGTGCGCGGTATTGTTCAAAGTGAGTATCTTCGTCGCGTTGGCTCCATTCATGTCCGACGTCACCAGTTCCCGCATCTCACTGATCCAGTAAATCTTATTCTCCATTGTCAAATAATTGACCTCCGACGCGATGTGCCTGGTGAGCGTGTAATTGATCTCGTTATCCAAGTCCGATATCCTCACAGCGTCGGCCGTGGCGACTAACAATTTGGGCACCGGATTCTCATACGTGCTCGACACGCCGATGGGATCCGTGAAAGGACCAGCACCGATCTCAGTATGCGCTCGTACTTTGAAGTAATAGGTCGTGTTACGTCTTAGATTAGGCAGCAGGAACTCTAGCTCCGTAGCCGGGATGCTGTAGTCGTGGAAGACTGACTTTTCCTTTCGGTTCTCAATGGACCAACAATGGACCGTGTATCCTTGGATTACTCCGTTTGTAAACTCGGGCTGATTCCACCTATGAAGAAAATGAGATACTTTTAGAATTTTTATTTCTCGCAAATCTGTAACGAAGTTACACAGATCTTATGCTCGTACTCTCTAAATTTTCTGGAGTGAATCTCCAAAAGAGTAAAAATTCACTCCAGAAAATTTCGAGAATACATGTATAAAAAATCTAAGGAAATAAAAAGTCTGCAGATAAGATTCTAGAGTTTTTTTTTTACCTAAATATTGCAAAAATGTCGATATCCTGGCTTTCTTGTAGAAGGATATTTTTGTAGAACTCGACGAATGCTCTGGGAGATGTTGGCTCGGTCGGCACGCTCTGCGGAGATCTCAAGATTTTTCGAGAATGGTGCGCCGTTTCCCAGTAAGTAAATGCCTTCACGGTGACTTCCAGGATGGAATAGGGCAAGATCTGATCCGAGTTATTGTAGGGCATCGTCGTTTCGATCGTGATTTCCGGGTTCGAATTCGTATTAATGTAATCCGCGAATTTCACCTCGTAGAAGACCGTGCCGTAGTTAATGTTCTTCACGGGATCCCACGATATGTTGAAGTTTCTCCAGGTCCCTTCGACTCTTATGCTAGAGTGATTGACTGCGTTCGGCAGAACCACCACGGTCTCCGACGTCAGATTTTTCGGGTACTTATGATGCGCGGGATCTATAACTGCCACCATGTACAAGCTGGACAAAGTGATCCCATTGATCACAGCTGTGTTCTGACCGGAGAGATCACCGATCACTGCGTTTCTGTCGTCCTGTAGCCAGAGCAGGTGCTCGGAAAAATAGCACAAAGGGCCTTGTATACTTGGATGTTGCAAAGCAGAAACCTTGAATTGAAAATTTATTATTTATATTATTATTTTTGTTTTTAACTGTTTATTTTGCTTTTTTATTCTATTTAATTATTCAAATCTTTGAGGAGATAATTATGTTCATTTGTTAAAAATAATAACATTCATAAAAATTAACAATAAAAGTGTAAAATGCACCTTTTCTGAAATGATTTTATGGCTCATTGGAATTCTCTCAGACGTAGGTGCACGATAGACGATGGATCCGTGTTCGTAACTTCGAACAATCCAGTAGACATATCTGTTTTCAGTATCGAGAGTTAATCCCATTACTTGTCTGCCGGTAAAAATTTCGTCCACATGATAGGATCTTCTGTCTTGTCCATTCAATCGCGCAACTTCCACGGCGTGACCAGTGGACCAATACAAGTATGCCTCGAGAGAGTCGATCATGAGCTCTTTTACAATTGCTAAGATAGACATCGGCTCTTGCTGAGATCCATTCAGGTTCGCTCTTGTTATCTGTATATCGGAATAATATATTGCACCGTAAAATATTTAAAAAAACTTAAAATTTTACAGCAATCAAAGATCTAAATGACAGTCACAGAATAGTGATATAATAAATATTTTGCTAAATATTCTTTGCTTTCAATCTTAGAAGAACATAACAAATTTAATTTGTTTTAAATTAACGAGAGAGACTAAGCATTTTAAGTTAAAGACAAAGATCTAATTATATTTACAATCTGCTGTTTTGGATTTGCCCAATATAGCTTCTTCGATATCCAGTCCACGGCTACGCTTCCCACCGAATGTATGTTCAGCTTCGTCTTCTGATGGTTGCTGATATTATAACGATACAGCGCTGAATTATTTCCTACTATGTATAACACATCCTTGTACCAACTAACATCGACGATATGGAATTCATTCTCGGACTCCTGCAGAATCGCCTTGTTAACAAGCGTGTCAATATTTTCGCCAGTTACGTCGCTTCTCAAAATTCCTTCGTTCGACGACCATAAGATAGACGCGTGTGACCCATTTCTAAAGGTACACACAAATTTATTTAATTACTAATTGAGATAATTGGCGTAAAGTGAAGGTGACACTTTGTAAATATAAATCCTACGCATGTAAAGTTTCAACTAAAAAAGAAATAATTGAATATTGTATTTATAATTTTTCTGAAATATCTTAAAAGTATCCAAAATCAAGCAAACCTAATATATTAAATTTATTACTTGTTATTTAATAGATTTCGCTCAGTAAAGTTATTTATTAATATTACCTTAAGGTTCGCCCTCGAAATTCCGTAGACCACGGTCCTCTGCCGGCGCTCGTGTAGGCCGCGGCTCTGATCAAATATACCGATCTTTCTCGCAAGTTATGAACTGTGTCAGACAATCCGGCGATATTCATATGATTGATGATCTGTCTGATTTCGCCAGTAAATTCGTTTTTGATTTCGAGCTCATACAACCAATTTTGCCAAGCACCTTTTCCTTGGCCGCCCAATAAATGAGGCGCTTGCCACGAGATCTTTGCTCTTTCCACCCCTAGAACAGCTTGCACACCTGTGGGTGGATTCACCGGGACGGGAATCGGTTGACTTGCGTTCATCAATACGGTCACACTTACGAAGGAGGTGTTGGACCTATAAAGAAAAGAATATTTTTGAACTTTTAATGTAGGTTTTATTGAACATACAATTAATGTCTTCTTTTCTCAATTAAATACACAAAATCGGGTAAAATCTTTTATAATATAAAATGAAAAAAAATATATATATATTACTTGTCAGGATAGGAATTGTGGAAGTATCTGTCTTGGCCGGGATGATAGCCTTCGGTAAGGACCTCTTCGCCGTTAGTCCAGTAGAACAGTCCATTTGCTGTGGCTAGGGAAACAGTATTAATGAATTTCGGCGTCTGCGTATTGGGGCGAAGATCAAAAACTTCGCGACCGTCCAACGATACGGAAAACACTGTGTTGTTTTTGTTATGAGGAACGAGCAATCGAAAATTCATATGGTCTATTGTAAAAGCACCCAAATTAGAATCTTCGAGAATTAAATCTGGTGAAACCTAAAAAAAAAAAAAATATTACTTAGAAATTAAAAAGAAAATAATTATTATAATACAATATCATATCTTAAAAAAATTATTTTTTTAAGAAAATAAAAAAGATTAAGTCTTATATCAAAAGTAAAGATAAAACAATTAATTGATTTTTAAATATAAAGATATTGCGTCTCTTAATACAGCTAGAATAAATAGAAGCTTTGTTAATATAATGACAGGTGAAAATAATCGACACCTCGTGTTTCACACCGTTGCTGATGGCGGCCAGATCTAATCTGTACAGTCCCGCTTTAGAGATCCAGAAAAGATATCCATTGTAAGGATCAATCTCGATATGCGAGGGTCGGGTTGAAACGTGGCCAGCCACGGCCACTGTACAACTCTTGCCATCCAGATTGCATCTGGATATCTGCCACGTCGTGTATTTCATTTCTTTTAGGATGTACAAGTGAAGATTCAGCCAGTCGACGGAAAGGCTCATGGGTGTAAAGCTCATTGCTCCGGGGGTCAAAATGGCCCTCGGCGTGGATCGCTCGATAATCGAAGTTCGGAACACGTAACCGTTCGAAGTGGAAACAAATAATTGCGCAGACGCCACGTGTACCGCGACACCGCAAATCACATTCTCGGTCCTGTAAATGACGCTAGGCTCGTCCAACATATTGGCGTTCTGCTTCCTGATCAGGTGTTTACCACCGAGGATGAGAATCGGTTCTTGAGTATCCTTGACTAAAATTCGTCTTATTAGTCATTCCAAAATGTAAATTTTTATTTTATAAACGTACGTAAATTACAAAGTTTGAAAATTGATAGAGAGTATTTTGGTTCTTTAAAATAGACGATGTGAAAGGGTTAATAAGTATTATAAGATATGCGACTGTTCGAAAAAAAAATTTAGTCAGCAAAATGATAAGATCGATATTTATTTTGTACTATTTTGCAAACAGTGACAACATTTTTTCGATAGAAAACGAGATTTATGTTCCTTCTATTATTGAGAGATTCCGTGTGTGTCCCTCTTGAAAAGTTATATTATCGTCGTACGAGAGATTTCTTTTGTTAACGTTAAATATGCTTTTATTAATTTTCTCGCAACGTACCGGTGGGTTCTGGAGTCGTAGAAATATATACAGTCGCTGGCGGACCTTCGCCGACACCGTTTCTCATGGTCACGCTGACAGAATAATTCTGATTGGGTTGAAGGTTTTGAAACATGTAGTGATCGGTATTGTCGGAGACTGGGATATCCTGTTGATAAAATACAACTTGTATTGTATAACTTGTACAAACGCACTGTCCTATCCAAATCTCGTGTTAGAAAATAGAAATGCAGTTGGGAGAATAAAAGACCGTCAAGCCAGAAACTTTCGCAGAAGATCTGGTTCGTGCAAGTCGTTGAACTAATGTTAGAGGGTAACACGATTTATAAAAATGCGATAGGATATTTATCATTAAAGCAGTGCATGCACCAAGTTAATGTTGAAGATTAATGCCGATGCGTTCGCATTCATTCACATAAAGAATTTTACGATATGCAATCCGTCAATTCTTTTCATTCTTCCGCAAAATGAAATAAGAAAACTATGTATTTTTATCTGTGCAGATAAAAAAATTATATTTCTTAAATGTAAAGAAATTTTATTATTAAATGCGTGGGAATTAATGCTTTGCATGGCATTAATACTCTAAAGCATGCATTCTCTGCAAATTGATATTAGCATGCAACACGAAAAGCGAAAAGGGATAAAATAAAAATTCATTGACTTTAATTCTGAGCATAACAAATATTTGAGCAGAAGTTGTGATAAAAAGTTATTAAAAAAATATTAGTTAAATATTTTTAAAGTTGCAGCAACAGATCAGCATTATCCTCAACGTCGCAATTTATATAACTATAAATTAATATAATTAATTAATTAATTAATTAATTAATATAAACTCTGTTAACGTGGTCAATGAATTTTCTTCAAACGGAATAACGGAGTCTACCTTGCAGAACCAACCTTGCATATTGCTCTTCTACAAACAACAGTTAGGCAGTACAGCAAAGCGTGACGATGCCGACGCGCCTTGCGAGCGCGCGCGAAAATGTCGGCTTTAGGGAGTGCACAAAGTTAAAGGAGAAGAAGAAATGCTTGTGCATACGGAAGTACGCGAAAGACACATCAGTGCGTATGGCAAAAAATGTAGTTCGGCCGTAGGACAAATGTGTCCCTGTATTAGACTATCATCGGTTCTGGCGTAGCGTGTACCTTAAGCTGGGAGTGTTCAACCCCTTGCAGACGCAGGACATAGGACAAAAGTGGTCCGTTCGGGAATGGGCCCGGTTCCCAAGACACTGAGACGCGGTAGCTGTCTACCGGCACCGATCTTAAAATTATCGGTGCTGATGTCGGTAGACCGGCCGCGTACGTTAATATTACCACGCTCGGCGCTGAGAAGATCGGCTCCGGATTGTGCTGCGACGATTTCAGGAGCAGCGCTACGCGAAACTGCAAACGCCAGCGTTTGTTTTTTTTTTTTTCATCAAGAGGAGAGTAATCCGTAGAGAAAGAAATGGTTCAACAGTTTAAGAACATTCCACCTAAAGTCTACATCAAATTTTGATTAACGTACGTTTGGCGGAATCTCTCGAGAAATAATGGGGATAATTTTATCTTTCGTCAATATATGAATATACGTGATTCACTTTTAAGTATTACAAGTGAATAGAAGATTAATACTTAATTGTAACTTCTTTGCTTCCACGTTCAATTATTGCACTTTTAATGAAGTATAATATTGTCGTGATTCTCCTTTTCCGTCCTTACGTACCCTGTACTTAGTGTATGGCTGCAGATTCTCGACCAGTATCTGATCGCTCTCGCGATCCCATGACTGATTCCGGCAATATTGCCATGTCTCAGCTCGTTCTTCGTATCTCCATTGCACCAGGTATGTTATACCGGCGCGTCTGTCTATGTCTACACCTTTCCATTCGAGGCTGAGCGACGTCGCCGTCAACGAGTCCGCGACCAACGCCGGCGCCGGTGGGATGCCGATTTCCGCTGTTCATTAAAAAAGATTTTCTCGTTTAGTTTAGAAACAACTTTACGGAGTAGCTAAAATGCAAACAGATATTTCATTTATATTTTATTATACAGATATTTTATTTATATTACATACACATATTGTATATATATATATATATATATATGTGTGTGTGTGTGTGTGTGTGTGTGTGTGTGTGTGTGTGTGTGTGTGTGTAAAATAATTAAAAGAGAAATTAATTTTCGAAATAATGCAGAAGCGACGCAACGATGCGATGCAATGATGAATAGTACTATAAAAAACAACGTACGATCATCTTGTCACGCGGAGCAATCTTAAAACAATATGTCCTGTCACATCGTGTCGCTTTAATCCTACAGTTCGAAGGTGAAACATTTTTTTTGTGCCATAGAACCTTACAAAGCGTGTTGAAGGTACTATACTTACCATCCGGGGAGTGAACTCCAAAAAAAAGGTGAAGCATTTTGAAACACCCGACACACAAATGGTCGACAGCGAAAAAGAAAAGATGCTCAGGGAATATAACGAAATTCTGGAAAGCCTGAAGACGGCGTTCATGGAAAAGTGGAAGATGAAATTGAACGACAACGCAAAGCCGGGTGACTTCGAGCGTTTCCGAACTGTCGGCACCGGTGCCTTCGGCCGTGTCATGCTCGTCAAGCACAGATCGACGTCCACGTATTACGCCATGAAGATCCTCGACAAGGCGAAACTCGTGAAGATGAAGCAAGTGGACCACACGCGTAACGAAAAGCGAATCCTGCAGGCCATCAGCTTCCCCTTCACGGTCTTCATGGAGTTTTGCTTCAAGGCAAGGGTCGAGAGTCGAAGTAACGACATTGCTAATCCTTCGAATCTCGTAAATACATGAAGAAATCCATTTTATTCTTAAACAAAAAATCGAATTATCCATCCTTGCGTTTAATAGATCTCCAAAACGTTCTCGTAAAACAGATGCGTAAACGTGCTTTCAATTCCCATTTCAAGGACAATTCGTACGTGTACATGGTGCTGCCGTTCGCGCAGGGCGGCGAGATGTTCACCCATCTCAGACGTGTGGGAAAGTTCGATGAGTCGCAGGCGAGGTTCTACGCCGCCCAGGTGGCCTTGGCCCTGGAGTACCTGCACCATTGCAGCCTGATCTACCGGGACCTGAAGCCAGAGAACATCCTGATAGAGAACTCCGGCTACATCAGGATGACCGACTTCGGTTTCTGCAAGATGGTGGACAGTCGCACGTACACCCTGTGCGGGACACCGGAATACCTGGCGCCGGAGGTGATCCTGTCGAAGGGCTACGGCAAGGCCGTCGATTGGTGGAGCTTCGGCGTGCTGGTCTACGAGATGAACGCGGGATACCCGCCCTTCTACGGGCACGACCCCATGAAGATATATGAAAAGATCGTCGCGGGCAAGTACAAGTTCGCGCATCACTTTGGCGAGGAGCTGAGGGACATACTGAAGAACATTCTGCAAGTGGACCTGTCGAGAAGGTACGGCAATTTGAAGGAAGGCAGTATGGACATCAAGAACCATCGCTGGTTCGAATCTATCAACTGGGTCGAGATCTATCAACAGAAGGTGCGGCCGAGCTTCATTCCCCATTGCAGTAACAGCGGTGATGCTAGCAATTTCGATCAATACGACGAAGAACCGCTCGAGGTCTGCTCCTTTGATCAGTACAGCAAGGAATTCGCGAATTTTTAGAAATAACATTCGTAAATTAACATTAAAAAAATAAGAAATTAAGATATTGTGTGTGGAGATAGTTACTATATTGTGTATAAGAATATCTTTAAACATTTTTTACCGCCAAAGTAAAATTTGTTTACAATGACAATTAAATGAAATAATGTAAAAAGAAGGGAAAAAAAGAGAAGTACAGTAGTCGACAATATACTTTTTCTAAATATAGATACATATTACTTCTCTTCACGTATTTCGTACATAAACCTAATTAGTTGCATAGAGTGATATTAACTGTAAGTTTGAGATAATGTCGCGTTAACAACAAATAAAAATGTTCTTTGCTCTGATAAGATTTTTGGTGGTAACTTAATTATATGCTCTCATGTGATATATAAATTTATTAATTAAATGTACTGCTATCGAGTAATTTATAATTCTGAATTAATATCTCGAGAGAGATACGCAGTTACCTTTGAGCTGCTGAAAATAACGATTTAACGCATCGTGGCAGCCCAAAACGCAGTACAATTCCTTCGGCGGTAACAATTCTTGCGTTCCATTCTGCAAACATATATCGAGGGCTAACATTAAGCGTTTATTTCGCAAAAATTAGGAAAATATTACGTAAAATGACCGTGCAAAAAGTTACGTTACACTACAAGCGTAGTACGGCTTTACGTAAGTTTTCCCGATAATAAATGCCATAAAAACAAAAATAGCAGCGATACTAACGCAAACAGCTTGGCAGCTTGTGTCGAGCGCCTGTTCCCATGCTTCGCAGCCTTTCGTACACTGCAACAATAAGCATAAAGATAAGAAAACGACAGTAGAGATATTCTAATTGTATGTATTTGAACCCAGTCCTTTTGAATCTCACAAAAAATTCTGAACCTAAAATGTCGAGTACAGTTCACATTTGATCTCCTTTCTAATAAAATAAATGCATTGTATCATGTTCTCGTTATGATTTCTTCTTGAATTAGAGTTCAATTCTAGTTTTTCGAACATTGCTGTTGTCGTAGACTTGGTTAATTATGCGCTAGATAAGACACGGAATGAACAGTTTTGCTGAATTATCTAAAAATTTACCTAGATTTTCGAAAACAATTTTGTTGGACACTTAAGCTGATTACTAGTATGTCAAAATTCTTTCTCTGTACGGATAAAAAAAATCTCTCTACATGTAGAAATAAAATATCTTAATATAAATGAGATAAAAATACATATTTTCAAATTTGGACAAACTTTGTATATGTCATTCTTCTCGACGATAAAATACCTATGTAATTACTGTTATACCGTAGCATCTAATTTGAAATCTATCGAAAAATTTTATCTTTCTTTTTTAAAAGCGTTTAATACATATCTCACGGGGATTTATTCTTTAATATGGCATTATTCGTTTTAATAATTAGAATTTTTCGCAGATGCGCACAACTTTCGCAGTCATTCTCGTCTGAATATACATTTATTGCTTCACATTCGGGGCAAACAATGAAACGCTCCACGCGTGTACATCGGATTTGTGGAAAATCGATTTATCCGGCGTGCATTCTTTCGCCGAAGGTCGTCGTGCGCGTTCTACAATTCGCTAAAATACAGCGCCGGAAGTTGGCTGAACAATGGGTCACGTTATCCGGAGCGAAGTGACATAACTCGTCGTGCCGCTACGTGGCGAAACCGTAATTTTTCGTGGCCGCATCCGATCTCGGGCTGCGTGGCACGTGTCTCAAGTAACGCCCACGTTCATAAGACGCTCGTTGCGTGGTACCATGTCGGGCATGGATTTGCGAACTGAAGTTTAACGCATTAACTTTCTGCACGAGAGGATGTGGGCATTTGTCGTCGACAACAAGCCTGCTGAAGCTGAGGACGCGTACGGCTCAGCTTCCACTGCGTCAGTGCGCGCTGTTTATCTTGCGATTTATCGATGCGGTTCTTTTGGAACCATGTAAGTTTCTCGAAAATAATCCCGAAGAGAAGACCCATGTTTATATCAGATAAAAATATTTAAATGCGAAAGCTTTTTTAAGCCACTTCGATTTAATTGATATATTGATGTACAACAGATTGATTTATTAAATTTCTTCATCTAAAGTGGAGTGACATAAAACTCATTGTGTCGCGTAATTTAGTATTATTGGATTTTGAATATTACACTTTGCGTATAATGATAAAAGAATAAATTTATTATCTGAAGAAATGGTCAGAGGTAAATTTGTATCAATTTTTATGTCATTGCTTCAGATTTGGATTTGTTCTTGTGAATGTGAAGCATTTTTTCGCAATACACCATACAGGGACATAAGTGTTGTTTTTAAAGAAAACATTAGAGTGGAGCATTCAAATACAACTGAAAGTATAAATATACATGCAGGAGCGAGTTGTCTCGAGTGCCTCAAGTGTAGACCTCGATATATATATGTAGCTCTGTCTTGGAATATGTCGATCATCGCTATCACTTTCTTGAGATTGTGCAATTAATAAGATTATGATAACGTTTAATTTTATATTTTTCATCATTAGAGATTTTAATTGAAATAGTACACAAAAAACAATCTTTTATACCTAATTCTTACGCTGTCTTTTTATTCTACTATCATACTTTATCGATCTATAAATAAGTATAATTTCGTAATACTTAGTGGAAGATTGATTTTAACGTCCGAGTACGAGAGATGCTATTTAGCAATTGGCAGACCGATCGGCACACCGCTCAGTTCGAGAGGCGCCGCATATAAATAATACTGCATCGGGCATTGCAGAATAATAAGCAAATTACATCGTACGAGAAACCCAATTTCCTTAAGCTAACTGTGACGTACGCAGTGTTAATCTAATCTTACTGTTAAAATTAATTAAAACTTGATTACAAATTAATTTATGCTATGTAAGTAGGTTTTATTCAGTTTTAATCCAATTCTGTGTTTTTAAGAGAAATATAATAACAAATAAAATTTGAAACAAAAATCAGTCTGAGATACGACGTTGATATTTCTCAATATCGATATTTTTTGTTACCGTCTTACATCACACGTATTTACTCTCAAAATACGCACGAACAATATGTTTATGAATTCTCTCGATAAAATTACAATCATCTAAGTGTTAAACATCCTACATATTTTATTATTACATTTTCAATTAAAAAATTGTACTTAATTATTAACCTTTAAACCACTATATCGACTCAAACCACTCACAGAGCGCTATTAAAACATTACTTGTCAACAATTTTCTTATTTGTCACCATTTAAATATATTTTATTTATATTGTATACGAGATTTTTTTGTTAACCCTTACATTAAAACATAGTTTTCCTTTTCCCCATCAACAAATATTCAGAAAACATACATTTTTATTATAATTAACTTATAGAATTAGCGGGAGCATAATAGCGGTCTGTTAGACATTGTGATTAGTGTGATTTTTTTTAGCGTGGTGGTTTAAAGATTAAATAAAAAATGTCTAAGGTGAGAAATCCGAAGAATTAAAAATCTAAACGCGAAGACGCAGGCTGCTCTTTTAATAATAAATTTATATTTAATCTTTATTAACAGTCTCGACAGTGTTTCATTTTTCATTCTAGGTTCCAAGCGATTGTTTCATATTTATGTTTAAAAAAAAAGATGCAAGTCTTTTAGCGCGAACTGTGGACGAACTTTCCAGACGCTCGTCGCATTATACGCTCGTAACAACATGCGCGTGTATTTCGTGGCGTTCGAGGGTATCACATAGGTCAGCTCGTATGAAAAGTCCATGGAAAAGGAAAGGAACCTCCAGCGCCAGATAAACGTTATTAATAATCATTTGACGCTGGAGCTCCACGATACTGGTAAATCATCGATGCGCGGGTGTCACATCTCAAATCGTACTCGTTAATTTCCTACTGCCGCAAATAAAATTGTTTTTATTAATCGCAGAATTATGTCAACGGTATTTTGTGATTTTTAATGCGTGTCAAATCAGTAAAAACAATTTGCAATTTCGATTTTTGCCATATTGTAAAGTTCGGGGACCGTTCGAATAATTAGAAATAGGTTTATTCGCTTAACTTTAATTTATTCGAGTTATACTTATATATATTTAATAAACAAATATTCACAAATATGTTAACATTCAGATGTGTTTGAATTAAATTCATATGATCGAATATGTCTATGCCATAAAAGTTTATTTTGCGAGTTCGATTAAGAAGCCACGCAAAAACGTAAAATGGTTATTTTTACTTACGTTTTCTTATCGTGCGAGTACTCCGTACGCACTGAAAAAAAAATTTGATTAAACCTTGATTGTCTTATCTAATTTATGACCGCGGTGACATCGTTGTACAACTCTTCTCGATTAATTTACGCAGCTTATTTTTATCAGATTATTGATTTACTTCTTTTGTTCCTTAAAAAATAGCCAATCTTCTGTACAGTAAAGGATGTAACGGATCCCGAGGTTTAACTCACTGTGACAAGCATCTGGGCGCTTTAATTTGACGTGCCCCATCAAACATGGATTTTTATTGTTTTTAAACGATCTAGCATAATAGGGGTTGACAAAACTATCAGACAGTATAGAGAAAATGGCTGAGCCGAGCGGCTCGGCGCAGCGGCCGCTAATTTCTCACTTCCTCATTAAATCCTCACCGGGTATTATGCCCCCAGCTGGGCCCTCCCTCCACACACGCGGCTCCCCGTAGATCGTAGATCTCCGTCCTACCGCGGACGAGCGTCTATCTGTCCTCTCCTCGTTTTACTTTAACCCCATTTACTGCTTTCAGTCTGGCTCTGGCAACCACATACGGGCAGAGAGGAAAAAAAGGTAACGAATACGGCGCCTCGGATCGTCTTCTTTAAAGTAATGTCTTTATAATGAGCTGCTGATTTATACGTGATTACCACTGTCAAATCTTCTTATCAAATTTCTAGCAGATAATCTTCTTGTTAAAAGATCCTTTCGTCTTTCATCGAGTATCTTCGATAATTATAATTTTTTACTGTATCTGCTATGTTTTATATATTATTATTAAATATTTATTATAATAATTTTGATTTTTTACTTACTTAAAATGTTTTTAATTTTTAAACATCAATATCTCTACGGATTTTTTATAAATAATTTTTTTAAATTTATAATATAATTGTAATGACATAAAAAAATTTGCCAAATAATATATCAAAGACAATATCAACAATAACTAACGAGGATTAATAATTAAACGAGCAAATTTCGTGGGTGTAATAACAAATATATTTCATTTATATCAAAATGTACAGATATCTATAAATGCGGTATCCAGTTTCGATTTGATTGGAATCTCTATTAGCCGCTAAACAAGCATTTACGGCCTCGTTAATTGTTGTTAATATTGTCTTTGTAATTACAAGCGATATTTAAATTATTGAAATATATCAAAGCTTTTATTCCATTACTTTTATTATTACTTTATAGTTGAGATCTCCATTTATTACATTATAATAGTTGAGATCTGGTTAATTGTAGTAGTCAGCGCATCTGGTAACCTTACAGCAGCAATTTTCAAGTCAAAGTGGCTTCTGGCAACGGCCACTATCAAGCAGAGACATTTGTATGGATACCTCACTCTGTCGGTGGTCCTCCACTTTACTACATTGTCAGACAAACATACTCGACCGTCTGGTTTCTTGGCGCACGACACACGGAAGCAAGTGTTTATCGTTTCTTCGTGGTTAATGTTCTTCTCGATACGTCAAACGCTCCGTGAAGCGTATCGTAAAACAAACATTTTAAATTTCTTATTTATTTTGATTTGATTTCTAACGCGCAGATATTTTAATTAATTAATTTAATACGTTTCGTTTTTATTATTTGCCGCAAGAAGCGTGTTTTATATATTTTACCTCGAGTAACGCGAGAGTGCAATTTATTAATTATAAGCTGTCCGTAGTGATCGGAAGTAGTCATCGACGGATATTTCCGGAGGCGAGCAGGGGATGCAAGGCTGCATTAATATCCGAGAGTGAACCAACAAAAAAAAAATAAGAGGGCGTCGAACAAAAGAAATTCCAGCGGTATTAATTCGTCGTTATCGACCTGTGAAATTACCGGAAGAGGCATAAAGTCAATTCGCTGATGTTCGTGGAGCGAACGTCGAACGCGATCGACAAACACGCAGTATATATCCCATATCGATTAAGTAGATAAATTAACTACGCAGGTGGATTTCTAAAAATAGATTGGCAGTAAATATTTTACTCCTTCTTTGGTATATATATATATATATATATTGTAGAAAAAGAACAAGGCAAAACGTTTTAATTACGCTCTATAAAAATTCAAAGAGACCTAAACGCAATTTATGTGCGAGGTGATAAATGAAAAATCATATAGAATTGAAAGTTCCAAAATTGTTTTTTCGAAAAAGCGCGACGGCCGTAGGCTAAAAGTGGGTCGCGCCGAGGCGCGAGTAAACGTCCAGCCAACAATAAGATCGCGAAGCGTCTTCCTCCACCTACGTCAACCCAATCCGTTACTCGTACGCGTTACTGGCGACTCACGAACCGTGAAACGAGCCGAGGGAGGAAATCGTTTTAAGCGCAATTCGCGCGGTAATTCGCTTTCCAGGCCCCGCTCTGGAAAGCGTGCAACGAACGCCGAGCCGCGCGCGATAGCCTGAGCGGCACGAACGAGCCCGGCTCATTGATGACTGTTTTTTTTTTTTTTTTCGGAGATACGACAATTAGGCACGCCAGGATCCTTTCTGTCCTCTCTTTATGGGGTTAATTACCCCGCTCGTTTCCCTGTCCTGGAGACACGCGTTACTGGATATCCTTCCGGTCCCCCGAGGGTCCTTTCACTCTCGCTGGAATGTCTAATTTTGACGATTATGACATAATAAATTAATGACAAGTGTGAAGAAAAAAATAATTTGTTTTAATTGTATTAAATCTAGCTACTAATAACACAATATTTTACATTTTTCTATTCGATTCTTATTATACTGTGTGTAGAAAAAGAAATGTTCATAGAAACATTTTTTCTCATAATTTCTTATAATCTTTATAATTTTATATAGAGAAAAATTCAAAATTTGCAACAAAATAATTGTATTTTCATCAAATGTTTGATTTATACTGCTGATTTAGGCCCGTGTCTTTTTTTATTATCAATAATTAACTTTAAACACTTTATACACTTCGTTGATCTCTCTCTTTCTGAAAAAGGAAAAGTAGAAACAAAGGATCAGTCGTACCTACTACTTATTTATCTCGTCGTCAGAAATTGGAAATACAACACGCGCGCGACTCCAGTTACTCTCCCAATTTCCTCGTTTTCTCTCATTCGCATTTCCGTTTCGAGCGGAAAGGAACTGAGAGAGAAACGAAGAGAGCGAGATGGGCGAAGCGCCGAGAGAGTGAATCCGGAGTCGCACGGTAATTTGGCGACATCCGCCATCGGTCGCACTTGTACGCGATCCAATTTAAAAGCACGAAGCCGTACCGGAGAGCAAGAGAGAAAGAGAGAAAGAGAGAGCGAGAGACCGGGCCATTCTTTCATTCGTATACGCGCGCAATGCGCTTCGTACGTACGCACGTTGGTCCCATTCATCGACCGGACCGGGGCGTTGTTTTTTATTTGCCACCGTTCGCCATCTCCGCTGCCGCGAGTTAGGAGCGGCGGGGCCCCCTGGGACACCAGCGGAAGTACTTTCATTGTAACGAGGGACCGACGTCCCTTCGTTTTCGTCTCCGACGTCCGCACTGATCATTCGCGTATGTCGCACTCCATCCCGCCAGGATTGCCCGATTTTTACCCCCGGACTTCTGTTGCAATATATCTCATGCGATTAAGTTTTACCGAGGTAAGGACAAGACACGGCCAACCCTTTTGAAGAAGCCAAGGAAAGAAAAGCGTATCTGCCGCTCCCGATATCTTTCATCTAAGTTTACCTAGTTATTCCCTCTGTTACGTGCCTTACAGGGCTAGTAGGGGTTACATGTTACTGACCCCGGTGGAGTACGTGGTAGCAGCCAATGGACGAATGGGGAAAACTTCCCAAATTTTAAAAGGAATCATTTCCCAAGTCCCAGTACCCCGATTCCGTAACTCTTAACGACAATTCGGTATCGTTATATTGCCGTTGCGCAGCTTTTTGTACCATATAAAATATATTTGCGCAATGACAGTATAACGACATCGTCGTTAAGAGTTACAGAATCGATACCCAGAGATTCGATGCGAATTAATTACATGCGCAACTCCTTACCTGATCGATCTTGCATCTCACGCCGCATCCTACCTCCGAGCTCAGGTCGTCCGTTCGATTCTGGAATCAAAAACATATCTCGTCTTAAACCAAGTGTCTCACTCACGAAAATTATCTTCACGCTAGAATCAAATAAAGATCGCTTCGAAATCGCGCGTTTAAATCGTCCATTTTTATGATATCACGTTGTCTATCATTGCGATACGCGATTGACGAACAGGGGGGACCGTCGAGTGAACGCAAAAAATAAAAAAATAAAGAGAAGAGAGCCGTTGAACGGCGTGAGCGGAGCGCGATTATGTTACGCGCAGGGGCGGCGGAAAATAAATTGAATCGCTTGCCGTCTTTAAAAGACGTTAAACTGTTCCATCCGGTTCAATTGACACCCCCCCCGGTGCCGTGTATTTGACGCGGCGCGCCGGAATGAATCGCCGAATATAATCGTCCCCCAAGGTGCCCGGGGTTCCCTTCCCCCTCCCCCCTCCTCCCTTTCGACGTCAGAGATAACACGCGCTCGTTACAGCGGCTGCACCTGTAGTACGTTACGCATTTCCGGGGCACAGGTGCACGTCCGGCACTCGATGGAACCGAGAGTAATTGGAAAAGGCCGGAGTCGCCGGAGATCGACGGCGGCGCGAGGGAGAACCCGAGCGGAGAGGGGTGCGAAGTGAACCGTGGTTGGCTGGTTACCACCATGGGAATTTTGGACGTCGATTTGTTTGACCGTCATCTAATTATCATAACGCATTTGATTATGGAATAGGTCCCCACCTGCGGAATGCAAATTCGCGTTGTTGTGAGAACGGCGGTCGCCGTTCCGCCAGTTGAGGGATTTCTGGAATTCACGCGAGATTTAGTTGTATTTCCCTTGTATACTTCCAAAGGATTTATTAACGAGGATAATTGTGCTCCTTCCAAATTTTCAAATATTAAATTCTCTTCTTCGAATAGAAATTCTTCAATTAAATTCTAGAATAACACCCGTCGCATACGCATGCTAAATTCGCACGCGGTAATCTCCTTTTACGACAGCTGTAAATACTTATTTACGTGATTAGTTGGTCAAGCAGAGTATTGTTACGTAAACGGAGCGTATTTCAAATTAAACGTTATAGCTTCATGTTAAAATTAGGTATCTTGTCTTCGTAGAAGAGCAAAGCATATACATATGCGCGTCTACCGCAAATTGCCGTACGACGTATGTACGTTTTACGGCGGTACGTTTAGCTTCAAAGTTCCGTAATTGGATAATGCACACGGGTCGCAAATTGCCGCGAACTAAAATTTCCACGGAAGCGACAATAATCGAGAGAATTTCATGCGCGACGCGGATACGCTCGCCGCGCGTGTTTTCCTCGCGCGTACAAATCACCGAGCAAACGGCGAGTTCACCGATAAGAGTTCACCGGGAGAGGGAGATAATGTTTTTGCGTACTATCTCCTCTCTCTCTCTCTCTCTCTCTCTCTCTCTTTCTCTCTTTCGTGGATGTATCAATTTTACGACGATCTTTCTTTCTACTTTTTTTTTTCATTCGCAGCTTTGGTCTCGTAGAAATATCTTCCCGGCAGCGCGGCGGCGCGTTTAACTTTGCGCTCGATTAATCAATCCAGCATTTCGCGTGTCATCGAGAGACCTCTCGGACGTGTGGTCGCACTTGTCGCTGCACTTCAACGTATTTATTCTTTAGGTATCTCATCGCCGAATGTGTATTTTGTTTCTCGCAACGCGCACCGATATTTCAAGGATATCACGTCAAATTCACACCGATTTAATTGACATAATCGACTATCGAATCCTTACGGTCGATTTCTTGCTTACATCGTCGCAAGTTGCTTCCAACTTCTTTAAAAATAAAGCAAAAGTGATACAAAAAATAAAGTAGAATATTTGAGGAATTAAGAAAAATTCGCAGGAGTTTCTCGTTTCTTTCAATCTCGTCTCATTCAAGTAATTTCGATGTTTTTGGATTGATGTATTTCGCATTTATGAATCGCTTGTTGTGTGTAACGTACTGAACACGTTGCAAATTAAATATTTTTTCTTTTATTTCTCTTTTATTTTTGACGGGGATATTTTCCTACATTTTAAATTATTCTTCATTGCAAAGGAAGTTATGCAAAGAAATAAATAAGAATAATTAACAAGACAATTAATAAGATGTTTCTCTTGATAAACAATTCCTAGAAAATAATCTTCTCTTCGATCGCAAGAGCAATTTGGCAGAATGATTCGGCTTCTTCGAACACGATTAGTTCCCTTTGTCTTCTTCAATTAATTCCGTACGGGCGACCCCTCGTTAACTCGACTTCTTTTTCGCGAGTGCTTCCGCTCTCACTGCGAGTATGCGTTCGTCTTATTAGAGAAAAGGGGGAGGGAACGGAGAAATCACCTGTTAGAAGAGCGGCTTTATCTGATCTAAGGTAATCGACTAATGCATAAGTGCCCGTCCTTCCGCACGTCCTTCCGTCGTGTCCAACGTCTCCGTCACGCTCGACGACACCGGCCAACTGTTGCGTCTTCCCGCCGCCGCCACCGCCTACCTGACATAATCTCGAAGACGGAAATAATAGCGGGTGTCGAACACGGAAAGCTCTACCGTACGGAAACGCTCGTTCGCTTAAATTAATTCGGTTAAACGGCGCTAGGATTCCATCGTGAACCATTCCTGGGAAATGCCCTCCCTTCTCACCGCCAATCATTGTGCATATTTCTCATTTGCATTGTACGCGAGCGCTGCAATTCTTTTTCGCTTCTTTCTACAATTACATAACTTTATAACTTTTAACGCTTCCAATGCCAATAGGCAATATTGTAATAAATAAAACTGACAGATGTTTACTTTTTAATTATCTTTTATCTCTTATTTGCAGAAAATTGAAGAAACTGAACAAAATACATTCTTTTTTTTTTTAGAAGAAATTAAAGATTGCAAAATAAAATGTTGTGAAGAAGGCTGCTGAGGGCCGAGCAAGCGTCCCTGAAGTATTATTTTTACGGAGATTGAAAGGAGCGACGGGGTACTTGATACCCGCCGACGAAATAATACGACATGAACATGTTATTTTGCACGCGCGCGGCACTCTGTTTCAAGTTTAAGGTAAAAGGTGTCGAGTTTTTTCCTGCGGTCACCAACGTGCACGGTCGCACGGTGTTGGATGAACACCGGCCGGTGTCCACTCGGTTGGAACAGCGGTCTGAGATCGAGCATTGCCTTCGACGATCAAATCGCCGATCAAGTCGCGAAAAGGGACGGTGGATGTGCAAACTCTTGAAAATCATTATCCCAAAATGAAAAAAATGTTGACCATCGCCTGTTATTACAAAATATCATTCACCATGAATGTTTCAAAATATTCAAAATTTCATAATCGGAAGAATCGGAAAAAATTCATATCTACTCCAAAAATTTGAGAAAATAGAAGAAAAATGAATAAGCAAATTTTAAAAGATTATCTGTTATAAGACAATATTTTTTAAACACTGATCTTCTTTTTGCAATATCGCATTTTCTTTCAGAATTTTGCAGAATATTTTAGAATAAGTATATATCTTGGAAATTTTTGAATGCCTTTGTTGTCATGTTTTCTGAGATTTTCCATATTTTCTTTACATGTTCGATAAAAAGACGCCGCCGGTGTCATTCGAATACACGCAAACGTTTTCTTCTACGAATCAAGTCAATTATTCTCATATTACGTCGGGAATTGAAAGGATAGACATCGCGGGTGAAGCTGTAATTATTAATGACGACCAGGAAGTTCTCCCATCTTCGATTTCATAATCATCACGCGCATTTTAATTACATCTGACATGCATTTATAATTATATTATTTGTTGCACGTAATAAAATTCGAAATAATTATTTGTAATATGGAATATGTACGTTATTCGCACAAAAATTCGCACAAAAAAGATAAGCATAGAATAAAACTGAAACTTAACTCATAATAAATGTAAATGCATTTAAAATTATATACAAATATATATTTATAATTATATATAAATATAATATAAAAGATGGGAATCAGCGTGGTTGTTGGTACGTACTAATTTATTTCTAAGAATTTTACTTTATTCCAAATCACTTGACTCAAGTGACTTGGAATAAAGTAAAATTCTTAGAAATAAATTAGTGCATACCAACAACCACGCTGATTCTCATCTACCTTACTTATACCTACTTAGTTTTAATTGGGGAATCTTGTTAGGTTTTTATTGTTTTTAATATAAAAGAGTTGTAGAGTCAAAACTTTCTCTCTAATTTTCGAAGTATCGCAAAATATCAAAAGATTCATTTCACTCTAATTTCATACTGAATTACTATCGTATCTCATCCGATCTCACAAAGAGTTAAGTCTCGCAATACAAATAATTTAGAGTCCTCAAGAGGTCTTCGCGACAATTCGAATTGTAGAGGCGATTAGGTGTTATGTACATCCTGGCGTGACTAATGCATCCAGACGAAAATCATACCGGCGGCGATCGTTTCCCGTGAATGAAATCTGCGATGTTGGCGCGGCGTGAATTGAATGGAGCGTAATAAAAATTGACGATGACGTCGCCGCGACGGTCCGACCCCGTTTACAGCCGTACGAGATGAGAATCTGGGTCTATCGTTGACCTTAAGTGCATCGCGGCTAATCCTAATGTGATTGCGAGAGAAAGAGAGAGAGAGAGAGAGACGCTGTCCATCGCGAGACGCGCTTTCGGCGCGACGTGCTTGCGCAATTTTTTCTTCCCCGAGCGAACGAGCGATCTCGCGAGTAAATAAAATATTAAGACGCATACCCTTCCGCAGCCTGAATTTCTAAGAAAAGGGATGTCGCCCCCTCGTCGTCACACGCGATTAATATATCTTCCTCGGTATTTGCTCTAATGCATCCGAGTTGCATACGGGTCTACCCACATCCATTTTACTAGGTTTGGAACGTTTTTGGAGTTACCCACGTGTGGGAAAAAACCCTCATATATGTAGAAGCTGAATTGAACGATCCATTACGCCCTGTCGCCGACAGATCAAAGATTTCCGTCTGAGAAATACGAAGAATGAAAATCCCAT